AGCATGTATTGAAGCGCCTGTTCTCTTGTCCAGCTACAAAGAAAAAGGCATTATTTTGAATTTCAACACCCGATCTGTGTATTGTGTGACATGCTTCATGTTATCTAAGATATATTGCAGTGCCGTATTCATATTTTGTCCTCAGTATTTAAATTCTATGGCAACGTAAATCCTACCTCATACCTTGAAATGAAACTCAAGTTTATCTATTCTACAGTTTATTTAAACATATTGCAATTATATACAATCACTAAATTAACGGCAAGATGATTCCAAGTAATAACCAATATATAATCCAATAAATCAAATAATAAGAGCATAGTTAACAGTCCAATTGCAAAAATCAAAGTCATCCCTAACACAGTTTCTGTGCGGTATTTATACTATGCACGCGCCTGACAATAATGATGTCTTCTTCATTTTGCCGATTCTTTGCTTAGAACCTTATAGGAGTTAAGCCCATTCCTCTATGGGTACTGACCTACTATTGTTACTATACTTGTTCATCACAAAGCATGAAATGATATGCTACTGGCTGACTTTCTAAGCTTTTTTAAAAACCTAACCTTGTAACGTACATTATTAATAAATGTAATATTGAAATTAAAGGTGGGAAACAGACTGAATCAAGAAGGGATGTCCCATTTACTAGGTCGAGGAAGTTTGCTTATGATTGGACTAGTTCACTTATGGGATAAATAGTAAGAATAATCAGCAAACCCATTGCTTTAGTGTTGCCTGCCCATATACAATGTGTTCTTTTAAAAATGAGATAAAATTTACTGTTAATAAAAAATCTGAAGCTTAAGAATCAGGTTAAAAGAATTAACATTATTTATTTCCATAGAAGTTATCACACCCATTCAATAGAACAATCCAAGAAAAAGGCGCGAAGATAATTTACATGTGACATTTGGCGCGAAATGATTGTGTCACCCCCTTTGTAGAAGGCAAATGGACTGATCCCGTAGTTTATAAAAGCAGAAAAATGTTACACGGACATGCCCGTACAAAGAATCGCAAAGAATAAACATGTGCATGCCAAAAAAACTGAAGGAATTAAACACATCATTATTTTACATCAGTAATACGATTATTTCTTCAGCAAACTGTATTTGTTTAAATGCAGGTAACAAATTCCAGTGTAAATCAGCTTCCAGAAAATCTAGTTCATTAAGAATGATCGCTTAGTTTCGGATCTTGAAAAAATTAATCCTTATACTGCCTGACGCACGTGGCGTCAGGCAATAAAACATTAAAAGAATCTGCACTGAAACTGCAGGAACACATTTAAACTTCAGTGGATGTCATCAACATTTCCATTTAACATTTAAATATTGTTTTGAAATTTGAGAGGATAAAAACTTGGAAGCAATCGATTATTAATCGATTACATCATCCAAAGTAATCGATAAAAATCGATTACAGGACAAAAATGAGTATAATCGATTAATAATCGATTACACAAAATTCCTTTAAGTAATCGATTATTAATCGATTACATTTTTCAGTAATCGTGCCACTACTGTAATGATTTTCCCCTTAGATTCCAAAAAAATCCCCTGACGTTCCCCTGTCTGTCCCTGACATTTTCCTGTCTCCCCCTGACTTTTTCCTATGATCCCCTGTCGTTGTCCCTGACTACCCTGTCTACTCCCTGCCGTCCCCTGACTTTGCCCCTGTTAACACTGTCTAACCCCTGATGTCCCCTGACATTCCCTGACGTCCCTGTCAACTCCCTGATGTCCCCTGACTAAGTCCCTGACCACCCTGCCAACCCCCTGTCGTCCCCTGACATTCATTTTGACGAGGAAAAAAGGTTAAAATATGTTTTTGTTGCTATTTACTTGTGAGAAAAATCGATACCTTACTCCTAGCAATTTTCAGGTTTTGTGAAAATGTAGATTTAATCATTAGTTTTTTTTTCTATTTGAAATATCTTTATCAAATTCTTAAAAAATATTATTTTATTGATTGTTTGGTAGCTTTTCAGATAAAGCTTAATAAGAATAAATGCGTTACTTTAAAATAAAAATAAATAACTAATTTATTGCGTCTTGTGTAGCATTTATTTATTTATTTATTTATTTATTTATTTATTTATTTATTTATTTATTTATTTATTTATTCATGAATCTGTTTATTTATTAATTTGTCTGCTTTTCTATCTTTTTTTCATTTATATATAAATTTTTTTTATTATTCAATCTATCTATTTAATTTATTTTTACTTATTTGTTTTATTTAATTATCAATAAACAAATGGATTTATTAAAAAAAAAATATTTATTGATTTTATTTTATTCAATTGAATTATTTTAATTTATTGATTAATTAAATTTAATTCATTTTGTGTAGTTCTTCATATACAGTGTCCGGGTAAAACAAATTATGCTTCAAACTATTTTTCAAGCATATTCAAATTACTTTTAATTCTTTTAATTTCATGATGGGTATCAAAATCATCGTCTCATTACGCACAATCTGAATCCGGAATTTGTTTTATTGCTCCCTTTTACTTTGGTAAAATAAAAATTTTCTCAAGAACTTGTCACGGTTGTGAAAGAAATAACACCTGCAGAGTGGATACAGTCGTGTTGCCACAGAATAAACAGTGTATAATGGTCAGTCAAAAGAACAATAGGTGTCTAGTCTGTGTACCCAGAGTCACTGGTCAACTATCAACTGCACAGAATTGCTTTCACAATCGTACAATTTTTGAGGAACATTTCTATTTTTTGTAACAAAGTAAAAGAAGCAATAAAACAAATTCCGAATTCAGATTGTGTTTAATAAGACGATTATTTTGATACCCATCATGAAATTAAAAGAATTAAAAGAAATGCAAATATGCCTAAAAATAGTTTGAAGCATCGTTTGTTTTTCCATAAGACTGTTTATGGGGAACTACACAAATAAATAGAAACAATTGAAAAAAAAAATAATTGATTAAATTAAAATGAATTAACAAAATAAATCAAGAAAGAAATAACATGAATTAATTAATTAATTAATAATTGAATAAAACAAATGTTTAAAAGAAAAGAAATGAATAGATTAAATAAATAAACAGGTACCGGTAGATAAAAAATAAATAATTAGAAAAATATACAAAAATTAAGTTTAAAAAATAAATAAAAATATTAATTATTATTTGTTTGAAGTATCTTTAGTAAATTTATTAATTTAATTGAATTTAATTTATTTATGTATCTTTTTTATTTATTTCTGTGTCGGTTTATCTATCTATTTATTTTTTCAATCATTTATTAAGTTTATCTATCAAATTTATTTTTACGTATTTGTTTTATTTTATTTTTAATAAATAAATAAATTTATTTAATTTTTTAAATTATTTTATTTTATTTATTTCCTTTATTTTAATTTATTGATTAATATTATTTAATTCAATTTGTGTAATTATTCATAAACAGTCTACGGGTAAAATACATTTGCTTCAAACTATTTTTTAAGCATATTCAAATTACTTTTTATTCTTTTAATTTCATGATGGGTATCAAAATCATCGTCTCATTACGCACAATCTGAATCTGGAATTTGTTTTATTGTTCACTTTTACTTTGGTAAAATAAAAATGTCCTCCAAAACGTGTCAGGTTGTGAAAGAAATAACACCTGCAGAGTGGACACGATATAATAAAAACCTAGCAATGCAGAGATACATTATATTTGAAAGCACAAGTGACCTAAAAAGTGGGGTTTGAACTGAAACTGAAAAAAATTTAAACTTGTCAGTCGAAACGCTCATGGATTCTATGATTTTCATCGTAAGAATTTCGAATTTATACAGAAGAGATGATTATTAGAGAAAGAACCTATTATTTTTATGGTCATATTCTTTTATTTCTCAGTATGAATGCCAATCCAATCTTTAAATATTTGTAATTCTAACACAAATCAATTTTTTTAATGTCACTTTTCTTATGTGCCATTTTTTCTAAACATCTAAAAAAGATGCATTTTCTTCATTACACAAATTTAATTTTCTAGATATGCTCTCCCTTATGCTTAAGAAGGGATCTGTTCCGATGTCACTACAATAGATGTTAGTTGAAGAATGGTTTGATGAAGTCAAGGTTACTCCCTTCTTATCTGGAGGTTCCAATGCGAACAACAATCATGTGGCACGACTATGTGTCATATTTTTTTTTTCTAAATTTTTCATAAATAAGATCAAGTTAAATATCTTAAAGAATGAAATTTTTTTGATTATTTGTGTGTGAAAATTTAATTCTACAACAATCAATACTACAGTGTTAGCTGACCGCACTTCAATGAAGATTACAAAAATACCTGTTTTTCGAAAGAGCAAGGTTCACTTTATCCATGCAATGGCTCTGCCAATATAACATTAACTGTCCAAGACCCACTGTCCCATTTCAAACATCAATAAAAGTACCTGTAAACACTTACTGCTTTCATTTTCTATAAAAAAAAAAAAAGTGTCCTCTGAGAGTCCAGGTATTAAAAACAGGCTTTGTGAAATTGCAATATTCTTGGATTTTGAAGAAAATAGGTGTATTTGAGAATCTTCAGCAAAGAATTAAAATACGAGCCCACCCCTCGATCCAAAAAATAAAACATGGATTATAATTTTCACAAACAGTTATTGAAATACATAATTGCACATTTTGGATCAGAGATTGGGCTCAATGCAAAATATTGAAAACAACTTAAACTTTGGCCATTTTAAAGAAATTTTCAGGATTAAAGGATAATGACACATTTCATGACGTCATAATGAAATAGATAGCGAGAAAAGTACGCCATTTTTGAATAAATATGCAGCCACCAAGAGTCCAAGTGAAATTTTAAAGTTTTGAATTTTTTTTTTAGAAATTCACAGTGCCATAACAATCCATAAGTGAACCTTGTTCTTTCCTGGAATCAGATAGAATATTCTTTGATCACACAGTTTTCCTTTTGCAAGAGCCTTCATCATGGCAGTGGGAAGATTATATATTTAATATCTCTAGAATGTTTAATAACAAAGCAGCTACGACTTATTTATTCACTTCAAATCATTTAAAAGCACAATAAATATACATGTATTCGAATAATGAAGAAATGAATACAACTATTGGATATTTAAATAAATATAACGGGTATTTCATACACTGAAACCATCAATTGAAAAGTACAATTATATTAATGATATACATCACATACCTGATTCTATACTTTCTAATAGAAAATGATGATGTAAATAATCAGAAATATTTTAAAGTAAGTATTTATTCTGAATCCACCCGAAGTGCACTGATTTGTTGTTTCTCGTGCTTTTTCCTTTGTTTTTGCAATCCAATGATTGACATTCTTCTCTAGAATATGGAGAGGAAGGGCGCCTTCTTTCAAAACAGTGGAATGGAAATCTCTGATGTCAAATTTTGAATCTTTAAGGGAAAAGAGACATTGTTAACGTCGACAACGATGATATCTCGATCTTAGTGCAACTTTTGTGTTTGGATACCGGGAGTCTCTATAACATTAATTTAGCAAAGTATTCAAGTATAATAATTTTATTACCTATAAATAATCAAGGAGAAAATAGAGTAAAACATGAATGAGTATATCAAGCTTACAGGAGACTGCAATGGTGGCAGGAGCGGTTTCTTTTAATGCCAATCATGTGTCAAGCTGGTAGACATGTACATATATATAAAGTAAATAAAATCAGATGTTGGGACAATTTCTTAAGTGCTAATTAATTGCATTACATATATATCCATAGCTCAAACAACATGTAAAACATATAGCATGTAATCTACATTTTAGACCCCACAAATATTAGATTTGGGCCTCACCCGCAACCATACTGCCAATCCCAGTTTCAAGCGAGCGGGATAAAACAAAATTCAGTAGATCATTGCATGCCCTAATGAAAGAATCACCAGGTCAATTTTAACCAAACCAGCCACAAAGCATCCTTGGAGAAAGAGAGATTCAGTTTCTTCAAATAAAAGGTCATGCCTTCTTTTCACTACTGGCTTTCAAAACCCCTGTCCGTATGAAAATCCCCTGTCTTTCTCTGTAACCTACAGCATTTCCACAATTATCTACGGTATATCTACAGTATGGTACGGTATGTCTCCTCTGCATATACAGTAATTCTCAGTATGCCACTGTATGTATCCCCAGCATGCCACAGTTACCTACAGTAGGCCCCAGTACGCCTACGGTAGGCCCCAGTATGGCTACTGCTTCCTACAGTGACCTACGGTATGCCACAGTATATGCCCCAGTAGTCCCCTGTATTGTTAACCGAAGCAAAACGGTAGAAGTACACAATGTTTTAAGAGGCAATGTTTTTACAGTTGAAGCTACATGTATTCATCGCTAAAAATTATTTATGAAGAAGATTATGATGATTTATAGAATTATTTTTGTACATTACATCTCTAAAGTAATGATATACTTGCTATGTTGTAACAAATAAAATTAAAACAAAAATAGTATAATAGATTTATTTCTGACGGGGATGATTACGGTCAATATATTAGAAATAACGATAATTAAACACTATCATTTCAAGAAAAAGTCCTGTCCTGTTGTAAGTGGCTGAGAATCTTTATATCACTTTGAATCATCAAATCATCAACAAGGTCAGTCTGTTTTGACACATTGAATGAACATATTTGGACTTTCTTCCAACTTATTAAAAAGAAGAATTATAGTTCGTATTAAGCCCGCATGTTTTTCAATCAGATAAAATGAACATGTTTGTAAAGATTTTTTTTTATCTAGGAGCATAATTCCCGATAAATATTGTTAAAAATGATGCCATTAATAAAAATGACAGTGGCTAATGAAGTGAGGGACGTGATAACAAATTATTCTTCCTGACGCTTACTTGATAAAATTGAATTATAAGTCGTATTCAGATAATATTTAATTTTTATGCATTTATGTAACGAATTCAGAAACAATTATTAACAGCACTGAAATGTTATTATTCTTTTCTCTTTTTCTCGTTATTTTAAAACGGCCCAGAAATCATTTGAATGTTATTTTCCATTCTTTTTTGTTGCATTTCTGACGAATCCTAATCTGCGTTTTGATTTACGTAATATTCTGCAAAAAGTCAATCAAGTTTCGATTGTGAAATCGATCAATCATTTTCTTTTTAATTTATACGCAACTTTTATAAATATTTCAAACTGCTGAGGGCTCAAACTATTTATAATTGGAGGATTGTATAAAGTTATTAAGTTTATAAGCCACCCCCTCTTGTCTCCGTAAAATACGCTAAAGATAGGGCCTGATTACTTGTACACAGTTTTAGACATTAATTCTACGTCACCTTTTTGTTTAATATCGTGATGAAATTCTGCATAATTTGGACCTTATCAGAACAAAATTTTCCGATTTCCGATCATAAAATTAATTAGTATGCTCTTATGGAGATACAGAATTAATTTTGTTTAAAATGAAATGAATTTATAATTTAATAATAATTTCATTTACTCTATCATCTAGTTTCAATTTTCAGACCCACTTATGATTAAGAATCGTTGATCCGCCCCGCGCTTTTCTTTTATCATCTTCATTGTATGCACTGAGGCAGAACCAGGGTAGGTTCTAGTATATATATCTAATGTAATTTGCAGTGGTTAGCTTAACAATAGGTCCTAATTGCCTATTGTTCTCTGTCTGCGTCTGACCACTCGTGTTAGGACTAAATAAACAACTGACTGACCACTCGTAACAAGACTGTTTTCACATTCACTATGAAATATCAGTTTAATTTATAGTATAGATATGCTAGAAAACTTTAATTTAAAAAAAATATCCAAAAAAAAAAAATGAACACTGAAAAACAATATATATACAATTATTACTGCTAATTTGTACTTTATCCTTGCTAATACTTTCAACATCGATGTTGTTTCTTAGGCGCTTCTTTAAGGGGTGAAACGCATGAATTAAAAATATAAGTTTCGGCTATACAGTTTCTGTTTTAAAAATATCATATATTTGTAATGTAAAATGCATTGAAAAGCAAGCACGAATGCTTATAATCCTCTTATTCACTGGTACATTGAAATAAGCAGTCATTAAAATAATTCGAGTCCAGAGAGAGAAAAAAAAAACCATAATTACACTTTAGATTATGCAAAATAAATGGATAAGAAGTTATTTTAAACAAAGGTCAGCGAAAACCTTTTGAAAGAAGAAGATAATTCAATACTAAGTCTTTATTAATTCCTGAAATGCTATAAGTCGTATCATTTATTTTGAAAATTTATTTTAAATTGTTTCGTATCAAACTCATTCTTTCTGACTATACCTCAAGAACATACTTAGACACAAGACAGGGCACGGAAATATGCATGATTAATTTTTTTTACTCAAACAATTCAGAGCGTCAAAAAAAAAAAGATATCTGACTTTTTAAAAAAAGCCTATTCCCCTATTTCCTCACCCTCAAAACGATGCTAGTTGTTGGGGTTAAAAATAAAAAAACCGATAACGTTTACCCATGGTCTATTCTGCATTACAGAAATCAGCAACATTTATAAATTCTGTTAATCATGTACATGATTCCACAGTCCACGGGCTCCTGATCAGATCAAGATCCGGTATACAAATTGGCGCAACGAACTATCATGTTATTTTCAATTTATTCTCAGAAATCAAACACCGAAGAGGTTTTTTTTTTTACCTGCGATGATAAATTTCTGACTCCATTATAAATACTAAGGCACTGCAGATGCATACACTTTTTTGTCCTTTAAAAGTTGAAAATTGTGACACGTGCGAATATATAAGAATTACGATTCTCCCGGCACGTAGACTGGCCCCAAGATGTAAAAGTTTATAATGTTTGTAAATACATGTAATTAAATAAAGACATGACAGTAATATCAAAATAATCAAACATTTAAAATCAATAATTTGATTTTATGTTATGTTGTGGGTTATCAATTTTCCCAACACCAACGCAAGCTAAGCGAGATCGAAGTCTGATATAATTCTTTGATCTGTAATTAAGGACAAATGGATTGAAATTAAAGTCCCTTGCATAATTGAATTATCTTTTATTAGAATTCATTGAACTAAACAGTGAAGATAAGAATTAAATCCTGTTATACAGTAAAAGAAATTTATATTATATATATGTAAGAGTGAATGAAATCTTTTAACATGTACGCTGCTTCGGGGATGGGGGGTGGGGTTTAAAAATTATATTTCCGTGTATACATACATCTACAATGCAAAAACGCCAAACCAAACGGAGTTGTTCGCATTCGTTATTTGACACATGATATGAAATGCACGACAATCCTGGGGAAAGGACTTCCCCACCAATACCTGTTAATGTCATGTCAATGTGATACATGTACATTTATCCTTCGTCTAACAGTATGCGATAAATATCGTAATATCCTAAATCCTCAATCTAAAATGCTCACTTTACGAATTCCTTGCTCTTTACTACGTTATCATTATTCTAGACATAAGTATAGACAGCTAGCACTATGAACAGTAAACGAAGACTGTTCTTCAATCTAGTTATTTATGATAATTTTATGTGCTGATTTACTGCAAAGAGAATGGAAACACAAATTCTAAATTACAATTAACTTAAGATGAACAAATATATAGGCAATTTTTTGTAAACATGCATTTTAGTATATACATGTCATATATATGTATATTCGTCCCTGACAATTAGAAATACCCCCCCCCCCAAAAAAAAAAAAATAGAAAGAAAGAAATTAATATCAAATACTGAGTAACTTTTTTTAATTGCCAGACATGGCAAAATAATTTTTAGGGTTTCCATTTCTTGAAATTGTCGAACGTGTTCAATATATTTTTAACACAGCTATAGGCCTATATTGTGTTTCATAATACGAACATCACAATCACTGACACAAATAACGAATTCGTTTTAACTGAAGATTTTTCCACTAATCTAAAAATATGTCAAGCTACAGTAAACATAATCCATTCACGTTGATCAAAATGTAGAAGTCAAGTCACAACAAAGTATTACTGTTACACTGTACACTATTACGTTAGACTGACACAGCTAATCAGGTCCATTTGCATCGTCACTGTCACCACCCCGATCACAGAGAATCCATACCATTTTCGGTTTTTTAGCATGAACAAGTGGCTTGCTAAGTCTGCTTACATGGAAAAGCTGTCATCTAATTGGATTGTCTTCCTACTAAGGATTTCGGAAAAAAAACCCACTGACAATTACTACGTACGTTATTGATAATGGAAGTTGTATTACCAGATTATTTACAGCCTCAATCACAGGAGTTCGCAATTTTATTAATAAAGTTAATTTTTATTATAAATAAAGTTAAATCATTTGATTGACCTATCATCGATTGACCTAGCATGAGCTATATATATGCGTTAGCACAGCCAATATGCGAACGCATACCGGTAGCTCATGCTTGGTCAATCGAGTGATTCTATTGACTTTATTGATAAAATTGCGAACTCCTGTGACAACCAGTGTCCACTGAGTAATAAAAAAAAGTAATGAAGTCCCGCACAATTGCACCTTTTAGGATTCACTATGAGAAACACACAAGTTACAGCTTGAACTTACTATAGTACATTCAGAAAGATGATTATGAAGAAAAATGCGTCCTCGTTTAATTCATCTGTCAAGGTCAGCCTCTTGCGATTTCTTTTGAGGAGTTTTTCCGGATCTCGATCCCGTAACATTATGATGAAACATTTGTGATGTAGTTAGACTATATTTTTAAGAAAATCAAAACGGTGTCTAGAATAATCAACCCTTTGATGTTTTTTTATGAAAACATTTTACTTACTTACTTAGTCCTCTTCGTGCTGGATAATATATACATTTCTGGTGAATTTTTCATGTCCATTTCTGAACGTATATATTTCATAGGGGGAACTCAAGATGAGTTCCTTGTCTGTCAAATATTGTTGTTCTAAGTAAACGTGTCTTGATAATAAATGTTTGACTTTCGATTTAATTTTCCATTGTATAAAATAACCCCCCCCCCCCCCCCGAAATTTCCATGTACAAAATAGATGTCGCACTTCTTGTCAACCAAGCCGGAATTAATAGGTTCGATATATTTGTAATTCATCTCTGTTTAATAGTAAACTTGTTCCCTCATTAAACACAAAACGTCAGACTTTTTTAAAAATAAATTTGATGGCTTGTTTGCTTTGCCCCCTAGGAAGAAAAAAGACAGAAAAGGGTTTTCGCATGAATTTTGCTTTAAAATTATATACAATAAGTAAGTAAGTAAATATTTTATTATACATAGTGACTTGTGTATACAATAATTTTACGTTCATTCGACAAATAAGCATATATGTACAACATCCGGCCCATCGGACCTATAAATCACTTTTAGCAATATATATTAATTACATGCGTGTGATTTTTCTTTGTCTTACAGTGTATGTTATATGCATTATATTTGAAACTCGCATTTTGATGTGGGAAATGAGTTAATAGATATCTGAATAGAACATTTTAATCGTTATTTTGTAAATTTAAAATGCCAATATTTCTTAGAAAATCATGTCTACAGTTTTTATACAGATTACACCTTTCACTGTCCGTCGGCAATTACATATGATTTACTTGTGCCTCTTTTGCATAAACTGATCTTGTATTATACGTTTAATATTGAATTTCTCCGATTAAAATTAATACTGACAGCATGCTCTAACCTGGGGGGGGGGGGGGGGCATTCCGAACCAAGTTATATTGAATCAAATAAAACATGACTTTGACCCCCCCCCCCCCCCCCCCCTCGAAAGAATGTAAAATATAATTGTCAAAAAAATGTTAAAGTTGAAGATAATGAACAAAGGTCGATTGGAAAAAAAATTGATCGGTTGACAATAAAGAAAAAGAGCTGTGTTACCTAAATTTACCATGTCATTAGATACTATGACAGACCCACTGCTGTCGTATACAGCTATGTTCATTTATTAGAATGGTTATATGTACCAAGATTAAAAGACTTTTTTCTCGCTGAGCAGGCAGAAAATCTAAATAAAATAAATTTTACATTCCTGTATCGACGCGGATTACTTTTCAAATATTTACATCGGTGAGATTTACTTACATCAGGGACCTTTATACTAAGGATATAGGTCATTAGTTACACGACGTGTTCAAGCTTATTAAAACACCATGGCATATATTTTACAAGCACATGTAGCCACTAGCCAGGAGCATATATATTAGTATATACATTTAGGTCTCTAATGTAGCCGTACTATAAGTGAATAAAATCTTCATTGCAGAATTATTGGTCGTAATGTATGCCCTTCCCAATTTGATGCTTTAAATTAAATATTTTTTGAATGAAGGAAGGCATAAACTAATAAATAAATAAATAATGAAAAAAATAATAAATAAAATTCATTAATTGATGATTTTTTGTTGTTGGAAGCAATGATTTGTAAACTTTTCAGAATCACTGCATAACCCTATAAGTCTCTTAACAATTGTAAACATAATGAAATGTACGAATAAATTAATAATTATAACAGTTTTAATGTTTATAGCGTATTTTTTTATTTTGTCAGCAAGAAATGTACACTTCAGATCAGTCAACATTATTGACCATTTCGATATTTTCTTTGTGGCAATAACATATGCGTGAAGTTTTTGCCTAATGTGGATCACGAGACCCGTATCAGTTGACTTCAGTTGTATTACTATGTGTATAAAATAATGTTCAAAAGTTTCTCACGGAAATAATCCTGTGTACTGAACTGACAACCTCACATCTTAGATAAAAAGCGCCTCTGGAAGTGTGTATACTTCTTCCGTTTTGCTTCGGTGAACAATACAGGGGCCTACTGGGGCATATACTGTGGCATACCGTAGGTCACTGTAGGAAGCAGTAGCCATACTGGGGCCTACCGTAGGCGTACTGGGGCCTACTGTAGGTAACTGTGGCATGCTGGGGATACATACAGTGGCATACTGAGAATTACTGTATATGCAGAGGAGACATACCGTACCATACTGTAGATATACCGTAGATAATTGTGGAAATGCTGTAGGTTACAGAGAAAGACAGGGGATTTTCATACGGACAGAGGTTTTGAAAGCCAGTAGTGTTTAGAGGTGGGGTGCGGTTAAGATTTAGTGAAAATTTAATGGCATCATTTAAAAACCTTCTCAAAAACCACTTGACCAGAAAAAAATGACACTTGTATGAAAACTTCATTGTATAGAGTAAATTAAAGTTCGTTAAAATCATAAGCCAGAGGGAAGCGATCAGACGTAGTAATATGGAAGTGTCCTCAGGTAGTGTAGATTCAAGTAGATCATTGCATGCCCTAATGAAAGAATCAAATTTAAACTCAAATCTCTCTTCTCATGTTTATTTCAAATACATTTTAAACAACTTAGCTATGAAACCCACTCAATATATCCAGAAGTGAGAGGTGCATTTATAAATGTGGATATAAACCAGCATTTAACATGTTTACCGGGAAGACAGTTTTCACCAGTAAACATAAAAATTCCTAATAACAGAAACAAAATCGCTGTCGCAGACTCTTGAACCTTTGGAAGAAGATTTGAACAGGTACAAAAATCTTATCCTTCTCATGTTATTTTCGACGTACGGCCATGTTTTGTTTTTAGGCCTGACGCACGATTGTGGATTATGTATGTACAAGCAAGGTAAAAAATACAAAAAAAAATGTGATTAAGATAACAGTAAATGTTTTCTTAAAATCTTAAGATTCAAATAATATTCAAATGATAATCAATTTTATTTTTAGACAAATGGTTAAAGTTCAAATTTAGTTTTTTCATTTGATATGCCCTTTAAAAATATACCCAGAAACTTGTCTTATTCACTTATCAATTTTCAAACACAAATATACTGAAACGCAAAAGAAGCGCAACATCACAAAATTCTAATTTGAGGGGGAAAATTATATACAGGTTATAACTTTGTACTTTAAAAAATCGGACATCTTCAACTTTGCCAAATCATTGATTTAACGGATGAATGATTCTCATTCCATCACCGGAAGTTGGTTTTGAGCCCACTTAACAGAAATCAAAAAATGCTCTTCCTGGAAATTCTCAAAATAAAGGTAAACGGGAGTTGCAGATGCAAATATGCACTGCATAACGACTCATCAGGTTTAAAGATAACATTCAACTTTAAAATAAAATATCTGATGTTTTACCTTTCTGTATTCATTTTTGAATGTTATCTTTAAACCTTAGAAAGTAACATAACTCTTAAATCATCCCCCCTTCCGACCATTCAATTGCAGCGTGCTAGTCCGCCATATACAGCAATTGCAGCTCGATCTCTACGATGCATTAGGTTTATCAATTTCTTGATCTGAGAGAAAGAAATATTCTAAGGCATCTTTACATGGGTGATGGCAGTGTTCTTAAAAATGAATCCTGTAAATCAACCAATCTGTTGGCAGGAACATATTTAAGGTGTCCTTTGAAAAGAAATTTTAGATAAATGAATATACTCTACATTAAAATACCTAATTCTTCTTTGGCTTTAGCGCGTAATTCTTTTATTTTCAGCTCGCCGATCTTGTATGTGCATGCTTGACCTGGCCATGTTATGTATCGATCAACTTCGACGTTTATCTTAGTCTCATCAAATGCAGTATAATTCAAAAGATATTGTATTGCCTCTTCTCTTGTCCAGCTACAAGGGGAAAAATGAAAGCAAATTTAACGAGGAAATATTAATGCATTTATTGAGATTTGTTTCACTATGAAGTGTGTTTTTGTATTATATACTAGTACATGTGTATATATGTATATATCTATATCATACATGTATAACAGAATCATGCAATACGAATATATTTACAATTGCAAATATTTTCTACGATGAATTTATTCCAGAAAAAATATGTTCAATTCTGTATGAACTTATCACGAGGTCAGAGGTCATAGCGTGACCAAATCACACGAGATAATATCTTGCCTACAAATTTCTGTCACATAGAATTCTAATTTGTTACCGATGACAAGGATAAAATAATTGAAACGTATGGATATTTGTTGTTCAATCAACAATTGTCAGTTAGATCTTCCTTCGGTGTGAATAATGATTTGAATAATATTATTAAAATCACGCTTACCTCTTTAACCCGATTTTCCTTTGAAGGTATGTAAACTGAAACTTATGATACCACCGCGTTTGACTTAACATATATGAAGAACTCATGAAATAGTAAGATTATTCTCAATAACGATCTTTGTTCTATCATTATAATCACGTGATCAAATCTACTGAGAAGCCCTTCGGGCTTCACAGGATACGATCAAGTGACCAACCAAGTTCATTTCCCTGAGAATTTTTTAACCTTGTTATTTATTTCTTAAGTAGATAGGACCTTATGATCCATCAAGTACATTTATTAATGCTGTTTTTTAACAATGAAAATTATTAAGCTAAATTTCGATGACGTCAGTATGTTTCTGGTTTGAATCGAATTGGATATTTATGTAAAAAGATTTTAGCATAGCATAAATAACCACTTTCGAGGATTCGATAAATAATACTTGTACTACAGTGTACCGTAACTGTGTATTATTTTATCCAAGTTAAAAATCGAGAAATACAATCGTTATATGAAACCTTTATTTATTTAAAATCTATCTTATTTTAAAAAGAGATTACGAATAGGACAAATATATACAAACTTGAAATTATGCAATCCCGTATCGACAACAAGGCGGCAGGCTCTAAACATTTCCATTCCGTATCTTCCCAGGCTGAAAATCAATCATTTTTCAGTTTAGGCTTGCCATGTAAACTCACTAACTCAAAATATCCTAGTATATTAAGAGCCATTCTCTGTAAGGACTTTAACTTTTATATAGGAGCTGTGGCACGCATAGTCTCAGAATTTGTCCAAACTCTCTATGATAAAAGTCTTTGATAACGTAAACTCAAATCAGACAAAAATTGGTTGCTACGTGTCATGGTTACCATAGCAACATCCCCTAAAGTTTGAAAAATGGCATTTTTCAACATGTTCAGAGTCCCACAGTTAACGTTTGCAGCAAAGCAAACAAGTGGCAATGACTGTTTCTAAAAGTTGGAGGCCTGATGTCTTAAATGCATGATAAACATCTTTTAAAAATCAACTATTACATACGTTACTATGGAAACAAAGTATTCAAAAAGTAATAATTTTGTTCATTTAATTTTATAAAGTCATACACTTAAGAATAAAAAACAATTATAGGTTGAAATGCAAGCATATAATAGACAAGAGATCCTTGTAATATATACCAAGGACGAAATATGATATTTCTTATAGGCAGGCAATGGTTGCCATGGTTTTAATACAGTCCCTGAAACGTTCTACTTTCCCACTTGAACGGTGAGCGAACGCTGAACGAACGCAGAGCGAACGGTGAGTGAACGATGTGTGAACGCTGAACGCAACTTGGTGAACGATGTGTGAACGCTGAACGGTGAGCGAACGCAGAACGCGAACGGAGCGCGAACGCGCGAGCGCAAAGTGAACGGTGAACGAACGGTGAACGCAAGATGAACGATTTATTCGGAATGCCTCTGATCTTTTCCTTGCATTGAAACTATTCTGTTGTATTATAAAAATAAATAAATAATAAATAAATAAACAAATCAATGAAAATTGTCCTAAGAAAGATGATACATGCACATTAAGCAAAATTATTAATTTAAGTTGCTTACAATATTTTCTGCACATATGTACGATGTTTAAATTCAACTTTTAATAACACGATTTTTATCGCTGTAAAACATTGTAATTGTTACCGAACGTTGTAGTATAAAAGATAAAATTAATCTAGTTGTAAAATAAATATGTTGATTCTTATTTGATAAATAAAATCATTACAAAAAATGTGGATTTTAGAAGAGAAAACTACGGACTTATAGAATGAATTGCAACGGTTGTAACAACTAAACATATATTTCCGTGCCAAGGCGATTCCGTGGAAAATAATGAGAAAAAAAATTAAAAATATCTTACAAAGGTATGTGGATGTTTATTGCATAAATAAACTTGTATTTTTAAAATTTTAATACAATAATATGTTTATGTGTCAGTTTTATTTTATTTTATTTTATTTTATTTTTTGATGATTTATTGAGTAGACTTTTACGTGTATCTGTAGACATTTCCCGGCTGTGATTATACTCGGACAAGATGATACAAAGAGGCATTCATATTATTTGTTATAGATTAAATTTTCACAACTTGATATTTAAGTAAAATGCTGTCATAGTTTTTATTAAACAGACAAATGAGAGAGAGAGAGAGAGAGAGAGAGAGAGAGAGAGAGAGAGAGAGAGATGTCCGGTTTTAGCCCCCCCCCCTTTCCTAAAATGTGTGTACCTATACCAAACAAAAATCTTAATTTTTTTTCTAAATATATCAGGCAGTGAAAGTGATCATTTTTTTATCAACAGATCCATTTGTTTTACAGTCATAATTGGTTTTTATTTTCCTGCTTCAAGTTCACACGAAGTCCACGTGCTTGACCTGTCAATCAAAATCATTGCAGGTGTAAAAGTCTCGTCACACCGAAGGCAAAGTGTTAGTATTTCCAAGAAGTTTTAACATTTCTCCTTATCATTTCTAGATCTGATTCCAACAAACGCTTTTTAAAAAAAAAGTAATAAATGAATAAAATACATTGGAAATAAACACTTGGAATGATTAAGCCGCTTGAATTTGAAACATGATCCTTGTTAATTTATAATATCACTGCCGGCACATGTATATTTTGAACCACTATTGTTTAACGACTTTGTTTAGATGCATGTTTGTTTTGAGACTGAAATTATTGTGCTACAAAACACATTAACTTCTTTTTAAATGTTAATTAAGATATACTGGGAATACTAACTAAGTAACCGATTTAGGGGAAGGGGGCCGGGGGGGGGGGGGGCTCTTAATCATGTCGAATGGCAAACATATAATGTTACGGTGAAAAATATCATTAATGGAGAATCACCTTGGTTATATTAATGATAATTATATTATAAAGGCATTTCTCTCTCTCTTATTAAAGACTTTATATTTGTAAAGTAGAAAAAAATTCTATAACGTATTTACATTTAAACAGATATTTTTTTTAACCACGCTATCATTTTAATTCGCTCTAAAGATATTTAATTAACTGGATATCCGCAGTACTGTTTATAATTCTCAGAACTAGTTCTAACATGTATTTCTGTATTATTTAAAAAAATGTGTTAGAAATAAATATTGTCGTATTTCTGCTGCAGTTGGTAAATTAATTGACTCGATTATTATCTATCCCTTAACGATTTGTCGTCTTTAACATAACGACAAAATGTTGCAGTGCTAATATCTGTATTTTGCCCGTATTTAAATTTAATTTTTCAGCATCGATCTACGTAGGTACATACAATGTACATGTACTTATAACAACATTTATTTTCCAGATAAATTTAATTAATAACCTTAGAGGTAAGTTAGGATGATAAAAATAAATATTGTAGATAATAATGATTATTTAAACACGATATGCTAATTATTTAATTCAAAACCTGAAAATCCTTACTTAAAAAAAGATAAGTCCTTTCACTTCGGAGTTCCGAATGACAATGAAGACTGAACGATAGGAGAACGCTGAACGCAAGGTGAACGCAAAATGAACGAACGAAGAGCGAACGCTGAACGCTTTGTGAACGGTGAACGCGAGCGCACGGTGAACGGTGAACGCAAAACTGTGAACGGAGAGCGAACGGTGAACGCACGCTGAACGAACGGTGAACGCACGCTGAACGAACGGTGAGCGAACGGAAAAATGGGAAAGTAGAACGTTTCAGGGACTGTACCACAATGGGATTTTAAATTTACTCTTTTAGTGATTTAATCTTATCCTATCTTTTTAAAAAGCATAATTCTGTATAACTGATGATCAATTTTTAAAGGCGTTGGTGTGACCCTAATTTTCACATTTCAAAAAATTCAAATTCAATTCTTTAAATAGAGCGTTGTTACGGAAATTAGCCGAAAAAATATGCATAAAAATCTGAAAAATATTCTGTTTCCTTGGATATGTACCCTTGTATGTAGATTCCCAAAACTTTTATGATTGATATAAATGAACAACTAACCTGACTTTCAATTTTGACTTCCACCCAATCTCTAACTGGATGCAAAAAGCTGGAAGATAGGATTTTATGTTGATATAAAATTAACAAAATCGAGCATTTTCCCTTCTTGGTAACCATAGCAACAGTGTTGTATTTTTCAACAAACTTTTTCAATATATGATATTCAACTTTAGTTCTACCAGTTAAATACTATTCAAGGTGAGTCAAATAATATGTTTCTTCATTAAAAGGTAAGTAAATTCCTAAAGCAGCAAAAAAAAATCACTTTAAACAACTGGTACGTTGTTTCCATGGTTACACTGCAAAGTAACAAATAATCCCAATTTTTCTTATGTTGTCTGTGTTGCAAGGTCCTAAGGATGTATATGTGCCAGTCAGGAATTTTATTGTTTTTGCTCAAGATAGTAGCATTAACCCAATCTTAGCAACAGATTTTGAATGGTTACACTGTGTTACCATGGCAACCATAAAAGTTATTTTTAGAATAATATTACCAATACCTAATTACTTTAGGTCAAATATTTTTATTGTTTTTCTTTGGTTGTCGATTGAGTTTGATCATGTAACATCTATCATTAATGAATATTGAGCGTTTTTTTTTAGCATTTTTCAGCATCTAAAATGTATTCCAAAAGTACCCATGGTTACCACTTACTTAGAGATAAATTCTTATTAGTTTCTTTATAGCATAAGTGGCAACAAGGTGTCAAGTTTTTGTGAGAATAGTTTGTTTGTTTTTCTTAGTCTTTATTAAAGCTTAATAAAGATTCAAAGTAGCTGAAAATCTCAATTTTTCCAACTTTTCTGGCTGTTACCATGGCAACCAAGACACATAGCAACAAAATTTTATTTGACATATGTTTCTGGTGTCAAGCTGTAATAATGGGCAAAGTTTCATCAAAATCGGTGACCATGCGTGGCAAAGAAGTTTAAGTGGTTACAGAGAATCGCTCTTAAATTATAGGGGACTGAATTGTAATAGTTCTACTGCAGATCTATGGGGTAGAGGAAAGGGTACTAGTAAATAAAGTGGGATCGATAAAGAGAATGGAAAGGGTTAAAAAAAAAGAAAGAGTGGTAATAATATTAACCATAATTGCTTACAGTTCATAATCTGTCTTGTACAACTGCATATCCTCACCCAAGGATTCAGCATACAATGCCCATCCCTGTGAGAAAAATCATCTAATTATGACAAAGACAAAAGGTTAATAGGAACACTGCCTCCTCTTACATTAATACAATAAAATTATTCCCACGAGATAAAGAATCATTGGTCTGATATATAAAAAAAAATCAGTATATATTATTCCAATGTAAAGTAATCTTTAAGGTACTGACACTTAGTATATAAATAAAAGTCTGAATATATTTGCCCAGTAAAATTTTAAAAACATTACAACACGAGATATCTTACAAGTGTGTACCTCTGTAAACGCGGAATGTACGGGGGGAATTGTTGGAGGCGAGTAGTAGTAACCATCCCTAAGTTTTCTGTATTTGGGGAGTTTAGCGGAAGATGCAATAGAAATCTAAAATTTAAGAAAAAAAATAATTACAAGCAGGCTTTTCTGATTGAAAATTTGTTGTTTTTATACTGTTTAAAAGCCTAAAAGTCTAAGTGACTTATGGGAATTTAGAGAGAAAAGACTATTTGAAGACGTAGGAGACATTTAACTAGAGTATTTAAAAAAAATGCATGTTTCGCCTGCAATTGCCACATTTAATATATAAATAAACCTAGATTGGGTCAGTTTCACTTTGCCCAGCTTCTTTCTGTCTGCCTGACACATCTTTTATCTTAAGAACTCTTAAAGACAGAGATTCAATATTTTGCTCATGTTTTGCTTGGGTTGATTGATTGTATGTTGTTTTACTTCCTATTCGAGAATTTTTCACACATTTAGAGACGTCACCACATACCAGTGAAGGGTTTTGAATATGGGACACACGTAGGGCTATTGAGCAGTGAGTGTTCTTTAGTGAAACGGGCCTCCGTTTTTAAGGTCTCACCTGAATAATCCAAGAATTTCACTCCTAATGCTGGGATCGGTCACGGCAGCCTAGTGGTAGGGCGTTCTCTTTGTCATCGGGAGGTGCGGGTTCTCGATCGCCGGACCGCGTGAAACCTAAGACGTTAACAAAGGTAGTGACTGTTCTTTTGTCAAGCGCTCGGCATTGGAAGTGAAAGTCAAGGGTCTTTTCGATGAAACCTTAAAAACCTAGGGCACGTGTCACAGATTTACGGTACAACCATGCAATAGTCGTGTGGTGTCTATTGAATGCCGTGTTCACAAAAAATATACAGTATATGTGTTACTATTGTAATCTAGAACAGCATTTTTAACCAGAGGAAACATCAATTATTAAATTGTTTCACTTTTAACAAACCTCTACAAAGGAACACCCTACAGACACGCCGGCTACCCTCCCAGACTTTTCTATGGTCAAATGCTGCATAACCGGTCACGCTTTTTCTGATTTTTTTATGAATGCAAACGTTAAGAACGTAAGCACAATAAAGAAAATGGAAAATTATCCTTCTAAATAGTGTGAGCACAATTTCCATGCATTTCTAAGGAATTGTTACGCTTCAGTTAATATTCAGTTATAATATTTTTTTTACTTTGGGCATAAACATACTTACATTTAACAATAGTAACATATTTATACACCGGATACGTCTTAAACTTAAACAAGTATTGAAAAAGTGAACATTTATTTTCTATGATGGGCGTTAGCAATTTTTCTAAGTATATATATATTATATATGTCATTGCTATGGATTTCCCTAGAAGGTGTGTGCCAAATGCTTGTCTGACATTTGTAATCTAAACACTTATTAAAGCTGCAGCCTATATTATCCAGAAATATATATTTTATTTTTTCGGAATATTTTATGACCTCATACCGCTTTTTTAAAAGTTTTATTATATACCTCTACCACCCACACTAATATTTTTAAAGTACATGTACATTCTACTATTTATTTAAAAATAAGCCGGGATCAATATACCAACTTGGGTTCGTAATTCAAGCAAAGTTGAGGATTGACTTTAGGAGAGAAGACGAATTCAGTATAGCTTCAGTTTAGCTTCGAGAGTCGAGGAAACATTTCCATTTGATTGTCGCATTTAACAATATAAATAAATACTATTATAGCTCATTCTCTCTATTCGAGGATATTTTTTTATTCTATAGCGACACATGCTTTTCTTGAAACACTCTACAGTTATTTATTTGCATACTAAAATTATAGATTATTCCTTTGACTGCAAAGAATTTTTTAAAAAAAATCTCTGGTTAGTAAGACTGTATTAGAATAGTATATGTAATAAAATGTGACAATCAAATTGATATATGATTCCGCAACATTTAAAGCTAAAATGAATATTTAAATAAAATAATAATTCATTAAATTATATGCGTTCAATTCAACAATATCTAAGAGTCTTCTTCTGTACTACAATTGTCAATCGACGACTTATCTTGAATTATAAATCCGAGTCAATATACAGATCCTCCTTTATTTTCATACGATTAAGCAAATACATTTAAATTTTGGTTAATGTGATAAATGTATATCAATTAGTTAGAAAGCACAGTTTCATGAGGTCATAAAAATACAGTATATATGATAGCTATAAATGCCCCACCTGTCAAAATCTAAAAGATATATTCATTAACAGTTAGTTGTGTACTTGATGGTAAACAGATGTAGAAATCAATTGGATAGAAGCATAGCTATTTTTCTTTTTTAAACTGTCTCACAACAAGCAGTACATCAGACTTATTTTCACCGTTCAGAGAATTAAATGCGAGTGGCATAAACAAACTATTTTGAAAAGCAGCTCAAAGGCAAGTTCAAGATCACAAGGTCAGTAGCCCTGCTATTTAGCAAAAGCCATTGTACCAAGCAATGCATGAGCAAAATATCATATCCTTACCTCTTACAGTTCTCAAGGTATACGGTATAACAGACGGACAGAGAGGGTATAATAGACGGACAGAGAGACAGACAGATAGAAAGACGGAGAGACAGAGAGAAAGACGGATAGACAGACGCCATGCAAAATGATCCCAATGTGTCGTTCTGCTATGCAGGCGACTCAAAAAACATCTACACATGGAAGAAAAAAATCCTTGTTTGACAATTCCTGTCACCTGCATATGATGACCTGGATTAGCTTCATGGAGAGCCAAAGCCATAAAATCAATTGTTGGTCTGTAAAGAGATAATTATTAAAATTTTTAAAAATATGAGTTGTTCATACATTTCATAGAAACTTTTTTCCTTGTCTCACAATTTTTAGGTCATACAGCTACAACTGTAATACGACAGATCGAAAATGCTAAATACTAAAAGTTGTTGCATCTCAAAACAATCGAAGCAGGAGGTTGCGGTCCGTACATAAACAAGATGCATATAAATCATGATACTAGGGATGTCTATGACAAGCCCTATCTTTCTAACTTTAAGAGATATCTCTCTCGCTTAAAGAGATATCTCTCTAGCTTAAAAAGATATCTAAGTAAAAGAGATATCTCTCTTGTAAAAAGAGATATTTCTCTTGTAAAAAGAGTTATCTCTCTTGTAGAAAGAGATACATGTATCTTTCTAGGTTATAAAGATATCTCTCTTAGTCAAAGAGATATCTCTTTTAGATAAAGAGATATCTCTATAAGCTAAAGAGATATCTCTCTAAGCTAAAGAGATATCTCATATTCAAAGAAATTGAAAGATTTTTTTTTTTATTTCTCGAATAAAAGTAGAAGGGCTTGCCATAAATGTCAGTATTTCGGAAGAATCTTACAATTTTTTAGGATGATGAACATTGACTTGAAACACTCCTGGCCGGGATCCATCTGAAGGCCCTGCAAAATACTGTCCAAAAATTCCATCAACTGGATTTGGTTTCACACTGTAAAGCAAAATGTCAACGTTCTAGGAATTATACATGTATGTACGCAACACACTTCGGGGAAATCATACCAGAACAAATTTTGTATAACAATGCTACAATGCAAATCATACTAACGAAACAATTTCACGTTAAAATCTACATTTAAAACCAAATGAATTAATACATTTTAGGCTAAGATCATTAAATTTGATGTCGTTGATAAGTTATGAGTTTAAAGTTTTAAACTTTCCTTTACTTTCCTCAATATAACCATTTTAATCTTGCTTTTTTTTACACGGGAAACCTATATTTTCAATTTTAAATTATCAGCCCAGTTTGAAAAAAATGTTGAAGGTAAACATAAGTTAATATAAGGACAAGAAGTAATGTTATCGTCTAGTGTGATACTGTGGAATCAATAAAATTCGTGGGGCCAATTTTCGTGGATTGCTTAAAATTTACAGGTTCGTGGGGACGTAATTTCATGTACTCTCTTATATCTACAAAAGGAAATATGACTTTGTAATCATGGTTTATTACAGTCCCTGAAACGTTCTACTTTCCCAATTTTCCGTTCGCTCACCGTTCGTTCACCGTTCGTTCAGCGTGCGTTCACCGTTCGTTCACCGTGCGTTCACCGTTCGCTCTCCGTTCACAGTTTTGCGTTCAGCGTTCACCGTGCGCTCGCGTTCACCGTTCACAAAGCGTTCACCGTTCGCTCTTCGTTCGTTCACCTTGCGTTCACCTTGCGTTCAGCGTTCACTTATCGTTCAGACTCCAGTGTCATTCGGAACTCCGAAGTGAAAGGACTTATCTTTTATTAAGTAAGGATTTACAGGTTTTGATTTTAATAAATAACATTCCGTGTTTAAAGAATCATTATTTCATGAGGAAAAAAATTATTTACAATATTTATTTTTATTATTCTAACTTAGCTGTTAGGTTATTTATAAAATTTATTTGGAAAATTAATGTTGTTATCAGTACGTGTATGTACCTATGTAGAACGATGCTGAAAAATAAAATTTAAATACGGGCAAAATACTGATACTTCAAGCACTGCAACATTTTGTTGTTATGTTAAAGACGACAAATCGTTAATGGATAGATAATAATCGAAGTCAATTAATTTACCAACTGCAGCAAAAATACGAAAATATTTATTTTATCACATTTTTTTTTCAAATAATACAGAAATACATGTTAGAACTTGTTCTGAGAATGATAAACAGTACTGCGGATATTCAATTAATTAAATATCTTTAGAGCGAATTAAATTGATAGTGTGGTTTAAAAGAAATATTTGTTTAAAATGTAATACATTAAAGAATTTTTTCTCCTTTACATATATAAAGTCTTTAATTAGAGAGAAAGAAATGCCTTATAACATGATTATCATCTATATAACCAAGGTGATTCTCCAGTAATGATATTTTTCACCGTAACTTTATATGTTTGTCATTCGATATTATTAAGAGCCCCCCCCCCCCCCTTCTCCTAAATCGATTACTTAGGAAGTATATCCAGTACATTTTAATTAACATTTAAAAAGAAGTTAATGTGTTTTGTAGCACAAATATTTCAGTCTCAAAACAAACATGCATCTAAACAAAGTCATTAAACAGTAGTTAGTTCAAAATATACATGTGCCGGCGGTGATATTTTAAATTGGCAGGGAGTATGTTTCAAATTCAAGCGGCTTAATTATTCCAAGTATTTATTCCCAATGTATTTTATTTATTTATTTATTTTTTAGAAATGTTGGAATCAGATCTAGAAATGATAAGAAAAATGTTAAAACTACTTGGAAATACTAACACTTTGCCTTCGTTGTGACGAGATTTTCACACCTGCACAGTGTCGAATGATTTTGATTGACAGGTCAAGCACGTGGACTTCGTGTGAACTTGAAGCAGGAAAATAAAAACCGATTATGACTGTAAAACAAATGAATTTGTTGATTAAAAAATGGCTACTTTCACTGCCTGATATATTTAGAAAAATATTAGAATTTTTGTCTGATATAGGTACAAACATTTGAGGAAAGGGGGGGGGGCTAAAACCGAATCTCTCTCTCTCTCTCATTTGTCTGTTTAATAAAAATTACGACAGCATATTACTTAAATATCAAGTTGTGAAAAATTGATATATAACAAATAATATGAATGCCTCTTTGTATCATCTTGTCCGAGTATAATCACGGCCGGGAAATGTCTACAGATACATGCAGAAGTCTGCTCAATAAATCATCATAAAAAATAAAACTGACACATAAATATATTATTGCATTAAAATTTTGAACTGCGAGTGTACATGTATATTTATGCAATACGTCCACATACCTTTGTAAAATATTTCTTTTTCTCATTATTTTACACGGAATCGCCTTGTATGGTTGTTACAACCGTTGTAATTCATTCTACAAGTCCGTAGTTTTCTCTTCTAAAATCTACATTATTTTAATGGTTTTATACATCAAATAAGAATAAACATATTTATTTTACAACTAGATCAATTTCATCTGTTATACTACAGCGTTCGGTAACAATTACAATGTTTTACAGCGATAAGAATCGTGTTATCAAAAAGTTGAATTTAAACATCGTACATATGTGCAGAAAATATTGTAAGAAACTTAAATTAATAATTTTACTTAATGTACATGTATCGACTTTCTTAGGACAATTTTCACTGATTTGTTTATTTATTTTTGATCTATTTTTTTTAGCACCAGACATTCGAATACAATAGAATAGTTTCAATGCAAGGAAAAGATCAGAGGCATTCCGAATAAATCGTTCATCTTGCGTTCACCGTTCGTTCACCGTTCACTTTGCGCTCGCGTTTGCGCTCCGTTCGCGTTCTGCGTTCGCTCACCGTTCACCGTTCACACATCGTTCACCAAGTTGCGTTCAGCGTTCACACATCGTTCACTCACCGTTCGCTCTGCGTTCGTTCAGCGTTCGTTCAGCGTTCGCTCACCGTTCAAGTGGGAAAGTAGAACGTTTCAGGGACTGTAATTCGTGGAGGATGTTAATTCGTGGATGAGTGGTACCCACAAATTCCATGAAAATTGAGCCACCACGAAATCTAATGATTGCAGAGTAGCCAAAAGTTGAACTATGTAGGAATCATGGCAATACAAAGTCTGCATGTATTTCAATGAAATCTCCTAAAACGAATTACATATGTATGTGAAAAGTAGAACCATTTTGATAAGAAAATTTGCATTAAACAAAACTTGAACATAATCTTCAAAAACTGCATCTGCATTAAGGATATTTACACTAATGGTAAGTCTGGAAGATTTTTAAACAAAGTTGGTAATTTTGGTTTGATTTCTTTTTCAATTGCGTTCTTGTACCATTCAATAACTTCATCCTGAAACGAACAATGAAAAATTGTGTATAAAATCTCTCTCTCTCTCTCTCTCTGTATAAAGTATCGACACGGTTAAGTTTGATAATAATGGCAAAGTGTTCTTACCCCGCTTTGTAAAAAGAACCGGGGATCTGCTTTTACTTTATCAAAAAATTCTTTCACAGAGCCTTGGTGGTTAAGTTTCATCATGACCTGTAAAATAATAAAAATGTTTAAAGAAAATAAAAGTCATTTGATATGATGTCTACTTCATTATCAATATATTAATTAAATGCACCTACCTTTTTCATTTCCATATAAATTCTTTCCACCTCTCTTAATCCTATGGAATGTACTTCTTCAGGTGATAAATCCAATGAAAGGTACCATCTTAGACATTCTTTATAGAATTCTCTCCCTCTGTCCCAGCTACTTACCCCAACATTAGTTCTGAGATTATGAAAGTACACCTTGAAATGGAGGAAAGGAAAGCTGTCTATTTATAACATCCAATGAAATGGGAAACAGAAAAGGTGGTTTTTTAAAACATATTTTTCACAAGATATACAGGTTTTTATAAAAGAAAAGAAAATGAAATTTACAATCACAGGTGCAAACAAACAAAACATACAGGCAATCAATGACACTCTCACTATGACTTACATCTTGAAGAAATGTCTTTAAACTGCGATATTTTTGGATAATTAACTTGATTACTGGTTTAACTCTCTGTCGCATTTTCGTCCTGTATCAGAAAAATATTCATAAATCTTTCAAATGAAAATCCTTACAGAAAGATAAAAGAGTTCACAGCACTACTTCGTCGGAAAAAGTGTATGAACAAATTGAATATTGACTGTGGTTTAAATTACACCAGGGATTGATTTTGTTTGCATTGAGTTTAGGGTTGAACGAGATATTTTGTTTAGTGTATTAGAGAGAAGATTCGCACATTAAGATGTTTTGTTTGAGGTATTAGAGGAGATTTGCATTTTAAGTAGTACTTCATTGCAAAACTGAGAGGATATGTACCTGTGTGCATGTAATGCCTATTTGAGAAAGTTGCCTAAAACACAACAAAAATGCAATTAAATTACTAAAAGAAATTATAGAAAAGCGTAAAATACATTTGCTTTTGTCATGGCCATAGCAACCCGAGTTAGAAGGGGGGGGGGGCTTGCCCCTCTCGTCAATAATTTTGCCGATATATAGTATACTATAGAAAACAAAAGTATTGTCACATATTTTCGTGGAGTCAAATTTTTGTGCTTTTGAGGAAAAAATATTGGTTCGAGGGGACTTGATTTCGTGAATGAAGAAGTTTTGACTTGTTATATGCATAATAATTTACATTTCGTAGAGGACATGAATTCATGGGCCCCTTCATACCATCGTAGAGGACATGAGTTCATGGGTCCCTACATACCATGAAAACATTTTGTAGAGGACATGAATTCATGGGCCCCTTCATACCATCGTAGAGGACATGAATTCAAGGGTCCCTGCATACCATGAAAACATTTCGTAGAGGACATGAATTCATGGGTGCCTTCATACCATGAAAACATTTCGTAGAGGACATGAGTGCATGGGCCCCTTCATACCATCGTAGAGGACATGAATTCATGGGTCCCTGCATACCATGAAAACATTTCGTAGAGGACATGAATTCATGGGTGCCTTCATACCATGAAAACATTTCGTAGAGGACATGAATCCATGAATCCTTTATACAATGTATGATTAAAACATGATGTATGTATGATTAACATTAAAAAATTAGTGATTTTACAGTACTTACTTTATGAATCCCCCCATAATAATTACATCAGATGACCTTTCTTACTTTTGTAGGAATTTTTGCTTAGAGGTGCTTAAAGGTGCTTGGACACAGATTTGAAGTTAATATTTTCTCAAATTTTCTGTATAATTTCATGACTTATATGTTGCTATAGCATTTCATACTAAAATATAATAAAAATCTTATTTCATCTCGAAGTTATTGAAACTTCAAATTTCTGGACGCGTTTGATTGACACATCCTTGCTCTTTCACAAATTTTAATTTCATTCTGAATACTTAAGAAAAGTGGCAATTTTGTTGTGTATTAATGAAAAATATTAAAACTATAATCCAGAAAATTCAGAGTAGAAATGTTCGAAAGCAAAACCCACTCACAGTATTGTCAGTCCGTGCTCAGTGGTGTGTGCAGACTTTAACAATTGAACACACTCGGTGAATCGTAAACATTAAAACAATAACAGAGCTCGTGCCCTGTTTACAAAAACAGTTTACGTTTCACGGGTTGTATTCAATTTGTTAAACTCTGTATACAACACTGAGCACGGACTGACGATATTAGTGAGGGGGTTTGCTTTCGCACATTTCTACTCTGAATTTTCTGGATTATAGATGTAATGTTTTTCATTAATACACAACAAAATCGCTTCTTTTCTAAAATATTAAAGATAAAGATAAAATTTGTGAAAGTGAAAGGATGTGTTAATCAAACGCGTCCAGGAATTCGTAGTTCCAATAATTTCCAGATAAAATAAGTTTTTAATTATATTTTCGTGTGAAATGCGATTGCAATATATAAGTCGTGATATTATACAGAAAATTTGAGAAAATATTAACTTCAAATCTGTGTCTAAGCACCTTTAAGCAAACTGAAAATGGTTGTGCCCCCCTCCCCCGAACTGAAATTGCTTTCTACGGGCCTGTGTTGTAAAGCAGTCGTTAACAGGTTAAAAGAAGAAAAAATCAACTTACTATATTTACATTTTCTATCATAATCAAAGCAGTAGTTTTAATTATGAAACATGTTCTATGATTTTGCAAAGTTGGCAATCTTTATATATTATAAGTTAAGTTATATATTACATAATTCTTAACATGTTTTTCTTAAAGATTTATACAACATTCAAATTCTGGCAACAAAATAAAAGATGAAGCATGAACAAGTACATGTGAAAATGAGTCAACTCTATTACTTTATTTATTGTCTAGTTAAAGCAATGAATTAAATATTTTTGGATTCTCGAGCACTTAAGTTGAAAGATTCGTGATTTATTAAATCTTACTTTCTGGATTCTTGTATCGTTGTATGGTTTGTCAATTGATCCAAAAAAGGTTCGTAGAAAGGAAAGGTTGTAACATTTACGCCTTCAAGAATGCGATCTATCTGCGCTGGAACTCTGTTCTGTGATGAAAAAGTGAACGATTCTAAGTCATTAACTCTTTCTAAGAACACAAAAGGTAATATTCTACAATTTTCTAGATATTCTGTCAACATAATTTGCTCATCTTTATGATTCTTATGCATCAAGAAGATGATCAAGTGATTTATAAGATACGCAGTCTCTACTTACCACTGATACATTATGATACGTGTGCTTCTTTTCTATTGCTGTCTCAAATCTTGATATCATTTCATCAATCTGACATGGGGAAAATGACAGTATTACATGTATACAATATTTTACACTGATCAGATATAGTAAGCCAAATCTAGAAAGGTAAAATGTGAAATTGTTTATATTCAGTTTACCTGCTTTGTGGTCGCCGGTGTGGCGCAGTGGTTAGAGCGTTTGCTCTAGAGTCGCGGCGTAAGGAATTGATCCTTACGTCAGGGGTTAGATTCCGTTGTGTAAAAAAATCTCGAAGGGACATTAAACATACAAAAAAGACAAACAAGCAAACCTGCTTTGGGAACAGTTGTAGTCGTCTGATGTAGTTTTCATAGTCACCTATGGTGTCGAATGGCGTTATTTTCGGCAGTTCAGATGGATCAACTTGGGGACCTTCTAGGAAATTTACTGGATTCAAAGCGCTGTATCTATGCAATGCAAGAATTATGTTACATGTAAATAAATGATTAATTCTGCAACAAATATGAAGTTCATAAATCTTAATCGCATGTATCGTTTTAAAATTACTTTCATGAGATAATTGTTTTTCTTAGCTCTGAGTATACTTTAATTTGAAATCAAAGGTAATTATTCGTAACATGTCAGCCATGTTCAAAATACTTCTCGTTTATTAAGCGTGACATAAAATAATTAAACGTTGAACGGTACGTTTCCCTTTGTCTACTTCTGATACTTCTTATAATGTACAGAGGCATTTAGAAAAATCCCTGAAAATATACATACTCTCGCCAGTCATATCCTCGAACAACTGTCATTAATGTATCATTCAACACATCAAAATCTGTCTGTTGTTTCGGTGATAGTTTGTTGTATTCAATGCTCTTCAAACGATTTAGAAGGTCTAAAGATTTGTTCTAAAATAAATCATATTTTAACAAATAGAGCTCATTATTATTATTGTTCCTGTGAAACTGTTTAATATTCAGATCTGAAATCCTCAATTTCATTAAATTCAGATTTCATGTATACACAATATAATAATTTAACATACTTATGGTTCATTAATTTGGTGGTTTTGGAAAAATATATAATTTTTTGATAAATAAATTCGTGAACAGCTACCTTGGCTTATTCTATCATTAGTGAAAGTTGACATTCTTTTGTCTCTTAATTTCGTAGTCTTGATCAACCACGAAAACAACAAAAATGGTGTTCAACGAATTATGATGAAACCACAGTATGCTTTATAATAAGCAAACCATCGCAAAATCAAATGTTGAAAGTTTATCATTTATTACATTATTTACAATGATTTTTCCAGAAGGCATTACATTGAAAAAAATATGAGCATTGTGCATGATTCATACAAAATTTTCTTCGAATCCCGAGAATGCGAAATTTTCCAGCCTGTCGTTGAATTTGTATATACCAATATCCGTAGAATACTCGGGAGACCTCTGTAATCTCCATTCTGCATACTCTCTCTGCAGGGAATCAAGGTCTGATGACAAACACTCACCTAAAGTCAAATAGCACTCTACTTTTACTTGACTTAGGGGTTACTGTAAGACAGCATGTACATTTTTTCTGGAACTTAAAACGTGTTCACGATATGCCACCACCCTCCAGCATTTTCAGACAATGTCGATTTAGGATATCGCTTCACCTAATCAAGATTTTGGGTAAAGACCTGATGTCGTATATAGAACCATGCTAACATTTTTTGGAAGACAACACTGAAGCTATTATACTACACCACGCAAATCCTTTGGCAGAATCAGAACGTGGACGTCTCATCGAATTAAATTATGTAATAGTACAACAAAGCGGAGTATTCGTGTTCAGCAAATCACAATTACAGTGGGAAAAAAATGACAAGACATGTGCAAAAAAACTGGAGTTACAGTTTCAGTGTGATTTATTTACTTATTGTTTTCCGTTATTTTCTCATATATAATCGTGACAGGGCATTTCCTTTTTACCATATTTTTTGTCAGTACTCTTTCACATTACAATTAAAGGAAATTAAATAAAATACGGCAAAAATATCTTATACTGGTACAAACAATTGTGATATAATCTCATACTAATATTTAATCATTTTCTTTATTTCTATTCTTTGCAGAATAGCCCTTTTGTATATGATTGAATAATTCCTAACTTTCTGATTGGTTGAGATCCAACAAGGAAAAAAAAAAATACTTCGCTTTATTCACCTCCACGTGACCTTCCGGCTGAACACAAGGATTTATTTTTTTCTACTTTGGACTAGAAATAGATTGAGAAGTTTTGATACAATTCGTTCTGAAAAGTTATATCCCTGCACCCAACTTCAACTCAGGTGAACATAATATTCAGGCACATAAAAAGGGGGTCTGTCACCCTCCCCACACTTTGTTCTGAGCGTTAAGATTTACTATTAAGTATGTAAATGTTCATTGAAAGGCTGGTCCCCCAAATTTTTGATGCAGAATAGTCAAAGCCCAAAGCCCTCCTATGTTATTGGACCCTAACACCCCCGCGAAATATTTTTTTTTTTATTTGCTATTCAAAGATTTTTTTTCTGATAAGTTTGTCATTTATTGTGCTTATAACCCCTCCAACTTTCAAAATCGATACTACGTGCCAGACTTCAGCAAATGCATACAAGAAAGATGGCATGTTTGCTTAAAGGGTTTGTGTAATTAAATAATTGAATCATATAATAAAACATCTATTGTTTTTTTTAATTAGTGCAATGATTTAACCACATTCAAAGTACAATATTCACCTTGTCCTTCCGGTGCGGTGAATATTGTACTCTTTAAGTGGCTAAATCATCGTATTGACCTTAAAAACAGCAATAATTATGTCCTGTTTAGCATAATGGTAACCTTGATCTGATTATGATTCATGTAAAGCTTCTCAATTTTTCCGGTATGTATGTATGTGTGCTATGAAAATGAATGATTGACGTGTATACATAGAAAAAAAAACCCACATACGATAGAAAGATTTAAAAATCATTGACTGAATAGACTAACATCATCAGCACTAATTGATTATTGATCCAAAAATTTTGCCATAATTATCGACCTTATAAAGTGTAACTACTAGATAAAATATTTTCATGCCTTGGAAAATTACACAAATGCGAAATAGTTTAAGGATGATAAATTTTGTTTCATGAAGTAATATACATGTAAATAATTAAATATGAATTCCTTTTTGAGAACAACCTACCTTCTGTCATCAGTAATACCGTTAAAACCAGCACAGATTTCCAATACATCTCCATTTTGCCACAAATAATGTATCACACAAACAGAATAGGATGCTGCATTCACAGATTGTTCTGTGAAGTAAGCTACCACCGTCAGAAAGATGTTGATCATGCAGCACAATTTGTTGCATTATACATACTCATATTTGGGAGGGTATATAATCTTGAAGAATCATTTTAATAATATTCTGTGAAAACCAAGGACTGTCCTTAGAAAAAAGATTTGAAAAAAAAAAAAACCTATGCAGGTACAGAAATAAAGTTTCATATACTTGATAGTTTTATTACCCGTATTAATTATTGATGTAAGGAGTACTTCTATCATCCTGGAGGAACTTAATTCAACTAAAGCTGTCATATCATCAAATGGACTACGACCAGAAGGTTAGCAACATATGACAGAAGATATGGTTATAACAGAATTAAAACGAATATTATCCCTGAGTGGAAAAAGGTGACTTTTATACTAAAAAAAAATCATACGCAGCAATTTTGACTTGAATTTTTTTTTTCTGAGAATCAACATGAAATGCTATGCTTTGTGGGGGGTCAGTGATAAAACTTCTGTGACAGGGAAATTAACCAAAATGTAACATAAAATCTAAATAGAATTTGCAATAGTGTTTCCATGTTGCTTAATGAAATACACAATTTAAAGATGCATTTCTTAGTTTCTCTTTCTTAACTAAAAAAATATGCCATGAATTTCATAAGTTTTTTTTCTCTTGATATGTGTTAAACATTGATATCAACTGTCTAAAATGTTAGAAAATTGCATATTCTGTTTATTTCAAACATTTTGCTGAAGAAAACCTTTCGATACCAAAAAAAAAAAAAAAAAAAAAAGATCTCTTAAACTCCATGTTGTACAGCATTTTGCTTTTTTAAAATTGACTGTTAGAATAACAAACACAGAGTAAATTATTGACTGGTGATTAAATTAAAATGTCAGTTTCATAGTTTAAAAGCTTGATTTGTGCGAAACTGAAAACTGGCAATGACTAACCATCAAAGATGTCTATAACATTTTTTATCCACTCATTTAATATAAGCTCGTAGATGTCATTCATGCTGACTTAAATGGCAACTACTCCAATTTTTTCCTTAATAGTCGTTATCTCTTTAACCCAAGTAACACTGCAAAAAACGAGCAACGGCCGCAGGGTTTTGAGGCAAACAAAGGGGATTCTTCGGGCTTCAGTCGGCAGTCATCGGCTGTTGTCTTGTCCGATTTATAGCTATAATTTTTTCTACATCGATGGCCGATTTCTTCAATTAAAGCAGTCTTTGAATTGTCCGTCGATCAATCCTCGATCATCGATCGACTGTAGGAAAACAGATTGGTTAGTCGGTCGGTCGACATTAAGGTATTGGATTTTCCAAAATGTCGACCGACGATGAAAATCGAACTGCGGCTCAGCGCTCGAAAGATCCGGCGAAGATTGGGCGACTTAGCAATATTTAAACTTTGAAAATAATCGGTGTTCCCAGGAATTAATGTGACTTCTCCGTATCGCCCGATAGTGTCGGTCTATCATGTTTTTTTTCCCAACCGACGATACGAGAATAATTTGTTCGCCTGGCCATCGTCTTAAAATATGACGCAGGTTTTACTCTTCAAAGTTCCCGACAAAAGTCACTTTGTTCAAGGAGACAACAGTGCAAAGAAGGCGAATGTGCAGGATTATCTTTTTTACAGACTTCCCGTTTGGTTTCCACCGTAATACATGTTCCGCTAGCATTAAACATTTACTGACTGGGTTCGAGGGCAACATGCGTTTTGTCGGACCCAAGAACCAAATTGTTTGCTTGAGGCCGTTATGCCAAAGGAAAAGTGTTTGGTTCGAGTGGTCGACAAAACGCATTTTACCCGAGAATATAGCGGCCATTGCATACACACTGTCCCTGCCATGCAAGATTGCAAATTCCATCTAATGACTTGTGTAATAATATACCAGATGCCGAAGATAATGATGCCCCCCATCTACATGTCTGGTGGCTAATTTCAGACCTTCACCATTATTGTTATCCACAATGAGTATATAATTACAACAATAATATTTCATTACAAAATTTGCTGCCAAAAATGTTTTCATTTACAATTAAAAGAAATAATATTCAGTACCGAATATCTTTCCTCATATTGCAATGATAACAGTTTAACAGTTAAAAAACACTTCTTTGAGATGAAATAAAATTTTGATAAATAAGGACACTTCTCAGTAGTGTACTTGTGTAATATAAACGTCCTTATGTCGAAAATTTTAGTCTTGAAATACAGCTATTAATCACAAACAAATTCAATTGGATTAAAAAAAAACAACTTTTATTTACAGGGAAGATCGAGAAACATTCAAATAGCAACACAAGGCAATAAATATTTTACAATATAAAACAATGCTCAGTAGTATCTAGTACAGGAAAAACGTCCTTAATTTCAACCTTTCCAATATTACTAGGACACTGTGAGGAAGAAATTCTTGCCATACAAAACATACATAGCTTATATAAGAACAAGAGAGTAGGAACAAAGTCCGACATTTTTAACAATTGACACTAAAGCTAACGCTGTTTTCGCTTGCAGAAGTTACCCTACTGCAATATAGATTGATACGTCTTTAAAAATTTCTATATAAATAGATACTATTTTCAATGTTTTACTGAGCGGTCATAAAAATTCCATGTTTGACCGCAGAGTGAGATATTGGGCATGTCAATGAGATATTAGACCGCTTACGTCACACTGTGGGCGGGATCAGCTAAATCTTATTTGCATTCGTTGGTGTTCGACAGTGACAGAATTGACCGAGTTTTAGTGCAGGTAAAGGAAATTTACTACATAGAAGCCAGCACAAGATACATGTATGTCAAAAAATAAAATAAATAAAACGTATAACAAAACATTTATTGACTGTATTCTCAGTTTGGTTCTTGGGTACAACAAAACGCATGTTGCCCTCGAACCCAGTCAATAAATGTATTATATTCGTCTTTAAAATAATATTACCGGACACGGTAGGTCTAGTAGTAGGGCAGTCGCTTCGTAATCGGAAGGTACCGGGTTCAATCCCCGGTGCTATCTATGATACAGAGCGATAACCTTCATATTGATACATTTGTAATTATGCAAAAAGAACTCGCTAAAATGTTTCCATGCTGATATCTTCATATCCAATGAAAGATTGATTGATTGCATGTTGTTTTACGTCCCATTCGAGAATTTTTCACTCATATAGAGACGTCACCATATATCGATGAAGGGCTTCAAAACGTGACCTTTACTTGGCACTCAGGGCCATTGAGCAATGAGGGATTTTTATCGTGCCAACACCTGCTGTGACACGGGGCCTCGGTTTTTAAGGTCTCATACGAAGTACCCGCAACTTTCAATTAGTGATGAGCGCCTGGCGAAGGAACAGTTGCTACCTATTTTTATCGACTTAGGTCAGTCGCGGCCGAGACTTTTTTTTCTTCTTTTTAATCTAAATATTTTGGATTTCCAACGTTTCGGCTTGAGCATCACTGAAGAGACATAATTTGTCGAAATGCGCATCTGGTGCATCAAAATTGCTACCGTATATGATTTACATTATGACCCGTGGGTCGAGGCCTCTGCTGGTGGACTGTTAGCCCCCGAGGGTCTCTACAGCCCAGTAACCTAGTACTTTGGTACTAGCTTGAAAAATACGGATATAAATTTAATTTCTGTGGTAAAATTTTCAAAATATATTTCAAAAGTAAGGATTATCTATATTATTACAGAACAAAGCAAATTTGAGCAACATCATAACACTGTCAATAAGATATTGCATATAAACTTTCGTTAATACTTGTTATATAATTAGATATTTGTGCACAGTCAAATAATGTAATGAATTTTGTGTGATTCTATAGCAGCAAAAATATACAAAAATGAATAACGAAATGAATTCTTATGATAAAATCATATTTTGAAAATATGACAGTATATGCATTAAATCCATGATTTTACCTTTAAAGTAAGGTAAATAATCAGAAACAATTTCAAATTAGTATCAGGAAAAGAGGAACTGGAAGTGCACTGCTCTTTCGTTTCTGTTGGTTTGTTCTTTGTTTCGGCGATCCACAGATTGACATTCTTTTCTAGGATACGCAGAGGAAGGGCGCCATCTTTCAAAATTGTCGAGTGGAAATCTTTGATATCAAACTTGGTTCCTTGAATGAAAATAATATTAATATTGAACCATCACACTAAGGATAGTGCTATCCCAAACTACTATAATGCATAACCTATCTAAAATGAATAAGTATCAAATAATTAATAAAGCACGGTTGCAAATATTTTTAATACATGCGTCCATATGTACAGGTGTTGGAGGTCCGTGTTTGCTCTGCTCCTATTTTGTATTGATTAATGGACTTTTGAACTTGAATACTGTTCGTTATCTCCATATATTTCATCTAGTTCTATACAGTTTACTTCTATATATTTTCCAAATTCTAAATTTCATCAAAATGGTTTAATCGTAGTAAGTCTTTAAAGGTAGCTCTTGTAAGAACTGCTATAAATCTATTTTACTATAGACAAGTTGATTGAATAGATAAAAAAATGTGGACAAGTGGGGTCAACAATTTCATATCAATGACATCTTGATAATATTCACAGCATTTAGAAATTCAGGAAAAGACTTCTTCCTTAAACAGAACCGATATTAATACTGTACCTAGTTGATCTTGGGCCTTTGTTCGTAATTCTTTTATTTTGAGCTCCCCAATTTTGTATGCGCATGCTTGGCCTGGCCATGTTATATATCGATCGATTTCGGTTGCAAGCATGTTCTCATCAGCCGAGGTGTGGTTCAGCATGTATTGCAGTGCCTGAATTCTTGTCCAGCTACAAAGAAAGAGACATTATTTGAATTTCAACATCCATCTGTGTATTGTGAAACACGCTTTAGCGTGTTATCTAAGATATATTATATTACTGTATGAAAAATTAAAAGTGCCATGGAAGTTATAGCTTAATAGTACGCAAATGAAAATTAAAGTCTTTAACGAATATGATCTTTAACTAGTGTGTATTTGATAGAGAAAAAAAATAATGGGCTATCCTGAAAAATAATAATTTTCTAATTTTCGTTCTGAACGCTTCTGTGTCGTAAAAACCTGTTTAAAATTCTATTCATTTCCGTATTTATGTCTGCACAGCCTCAGGCCATGTTTTGTTCATATATACTTAAATAAAGTGCTGACGATGTTGCTAAAATCCACAGTATTATGTCCTCAAGCAACAAATGGAGGGAATATTGTATCACTTATACTTAAAATACGGATATATATTTAATTGCTGTGTTAAAATTTAGAAATTTTTATCAAAATTAAGGATTATTTCCCTCATGCATATCTCTGATCCTTCGACGTATCTGGCTCCAGTCTTTGGCACCACTTTCTTCAGCTCTTCAAAGTTTTTAAATTAAATATTTCGGATTTCCAATGTTTTGGCATGAGCATCACTGAAGAGGCACCAAAATTGGTGCCGTATATGATTTACATTATATGCGTCTGCACGTGGTGTCTGGATGTTTGGGTTTACTAGTGTACACGCTTGAGGCAAGATTAAAAGAGAAGCCTAGGATATATATTTTTTCAAACTTTCCATAGTTCTTTTACTTTTTATTAGGTCGAACCATATTAGTTTACAAGATTATTGTTAAATTATTTCTTACTAACTTACTTGAAATAATGTAAGCCCGTATCGACAACGAGACGAGCTGCACTAAATATTTCAGATCTGTATCTTCCCATGCTGGAAATAAAGAACGTTTATGTCAGATAATTTTTAATGAAAGTATTACATAAACGGCTTGATTTTTTTTGCTGCTACATCTAAGTTCTCAAAAATTAAAAAAAAAATCAGTTATGTACATTTTGTTTGATGACCATCTTTAACATAATGCGTACTCACAGGTCATAGTCAGTTTTGTATAAGTTCATTTCTTCACCAAGGAATTCTGCATACAGTGCCCAACCCTGAGAAAATAGGTATAAATATCTTAAATAATTGATAATGAATTAAATATATATTAATTTCATTGTATAGTTACAAAGCTAACTAAGATGAAAGAAGAAGTGAAATACTATACTTTGAATATAGTTTTGATAGACAATTCATAAACAAGCACAAATTGTTGCAATTTCAAACATTGAAAATGAGAAACATTCAATACAGAAATCAAAATCGCTAGGACATATTCACAGCAGCGACAATAGGTGCCGAGGCAAGGGAGACGGTACATATTGTTTTTCTGTACATATTGTCATCGGCGACGATATGTACCCACCCTCACTGCACATATTGTCGTCCATCACCATCTTCACAGTGTAAATTATACATGAAATATATAATTTTATTGCAGTTGTTTCATTTGAGTTGAAAATAACAATTCTGTATACAGAGAAGCATCGGTTTGTCATTAAGTGAACATGCAATCTCATGAAAACTGAAGGTATGTTATTTGATATCACCTTTATCATTATCCATATTATCTGAAGCCATAGCAGTGTGTCGGCAAAATGTAAAACGAGCGTAGGCACATACATGTATTGTCACCTGCGACAATATGTACTTGAATAATTTCGCAGCTCACGACATTATGTGCCAATAAACGACAATATGTGCAGCGAGGTTAGATGCATATTTTCGCCGACTACAATATGTACAGAACGACAAAATATACCGTCACAAGTACAGCTTCAGAATATCGTCGCTCTCATTTAGAATAATACTACATAAAAAACCCTTAATAGTAGGGTTATATAGCATATTTTATCTGAAAATTCTTAATTAATCAATGCATCATTCGCCCGATGCACGCATCACTAATTTTATATTTTTGCAGGGATTTCATGTGACAATACTGTATGACGATTTTGTTTAAACAATTGGTTTTTGGGATGTGAAATCCCAGATGCAATGTCCAAATGTAGCATTTACAGACACATTTTCAAACACAATACTTTCTATTTCACTTCATTTTCACTCCGTTTGAAATGTGTACAGTGTGCATCTCTCTCATTTTAATAAATATATGTCATCTAGATCACATCACTCATTCAATCATAAAGTTAAAATTAAAAGTTTTATTTTTTAATTTTAGATAAATAATATAGGATTAATTGCCATGGTACCTCAATATATGCTGTATAAAAAGGGACCTCAAAAGGAACGTTGTAAAAACGTCCACCCATGTATTTCCTATAACTAGGGATTTTGGCAGTCGATGCAATACTTATCTAAAAAAAAATAAGACAATTGTAATTTACTTCCACTTTCTTTTAAACAGTTAAGGTGTCAGTACAGAACAGGGGTTTGCAATTAGCATCGCCCGACGCCCGGGGCTACCATTTTTTTGGGTCGGGCTAGTAGTTTTCTGCACAGAGGTAGCCCATTGGGCTAGTAAAAATTAAAACTACCATTGTAATACATGAAAATTACTATCGGTATTTTCACTCACTATTTGCTATTAAATTCTCAAAAAATGAAAAAAAAAAATTGGCAGCATGTTCCTACGCTTCGTTAATCTCCATAATCGTATCCATTTTGCAGTGCTACCTGACTTATTTACTTCCAAAAACGATCGTTTTTATCTAATCCGAATTTCCTCTATTCCTCTGCTTATGGTAAATACACTTGCATATATCTCATTAAATTATTTACGATCACTCAATCAACTGAAAGATAAGTGTTATGTGGTTTACATAAAATATATTTCCAGCGTATTTAATGATTAATTAAACAATCATTAAATAATCAATTAATTAAGATGAGAAAATGATTTTCATTTCGTTGTAGATAAGATAATTTATTTGAATTCATTTTTATTTTCTATCATAATTATTAATTTATACATGATTTAATCTTACTAGTGAGAATTAAACTTTAACTTTAAAAAGAATTAATGACATTAAAACCCTGACTTTTTCAACAAAAAACAGTTTTCTGTTACCCTCCTCCCCCCTTTACATTTGGGCTAGTAACTTTTTACTTGGGGCTAGTAACTTTATTGCTGCCACTAGCCCGTGGGCTAGTACTTAAGTTTTTTAATTGCACACCCCTGCAGAAAAAAGTATTTTTTAAAAATATATTTCACCTGCAAATGATGACCTGGATTTGCTTCATGAATAAGTAAAGCCATATAGTTGATCGTGAGTCTGTAAAGAGGACAACAAAATTAGAATTCATAGCAAGTTTAAAGACCACTCTTCAATGTGTTTACCTTCGTAACTCAAACTCTATTATGCAAAGTACTGTCTGTGCATAGCTGATTACTACTATTTTTATAAAACAAGATGTGTTTATGAAACATTGATACATATCGTATGGCAGGTCAACATTGTTGGTGTCTTGTCACAAGGAATACACAGGTGATATATAATTTTCCCTAGCACTGACCGTTCAAAAGTTATGACCAAGGTTAAAGTTTTTCAAAAGTGAGTCAAACTCCAAGGTCATCTTCAAAGGGTCAAAGATGTTGATGCCAAAAGGAAGCTTTTTTTTTTTTTTTTTTTTTTTTTTTTTTTTTTTTTTTACACATGTGTAATATGAATTATATGAAATTATGAATGATAAGTGATATTTTATATAAAATATGATATAGCTCCAACCATTCAAAAGTTATAACCAAAGTTAAAGTTTTAAAAAGTGGGTAAAACTCCAAGGTCAAAAGATCAAAATTGTTGGTTCCCAAAGAAAGGTCTTGTCAGAAAGAATACATTTGTAAAGTTTGAAAGCCCTAACACCAACCATCTAAAAGTTATATTTTTTCGTGGAGAAAGTTTGGTAAAATTTTGCAAAAGTGGGTCAAACTCCAAGGTCAAGATTAAAAGGTCAAATATGTTGGTATCAAAAGATAGGTCTTGTCACAAGAAATACACATTTGAAATATGAAAGTCATAACACCAGCCAATCAAAAGTTATTGCCAAGGATAAAGTATTTGCAGACAGACAAATAGACAGACAGATAGATAGACGGACGGAAATAGCAAAAACTATATGCCCCCGAATTTTCGATTACGGGAACACAATAAGAAAATATGCAAGTTTATAGTTGAAATAATTTACGACACTAAATACTTAGGATTATAATTTAAATTAAAACAAAATTTATTATTTTTATAGTCCATCTAAAAAATCATAATTTTACAATTGAGGACAGAGAGAAAAACACAGTTGAGAAAATAACTTCAATTTTGTAAGTGAGGGGAAATACATAACATAATAAGATCTGTATGATTTTGGTTTTATTAATGATAATAGCAGAGAAACTTACGATTTATTTGGGTGTTTCACGTTGACAAGAAACTTTCCGGGACGTGATCCATCTTCAGGTGCCGGTATGTATTGACCACTTATCCCACCTGCTGGATCTGCCTCCACACTTTTAGAAATTGTTAAAAACATAAGCATATTGTAACTGTCAGTATTCAGTGGAAATAATGCAGCTTTAAAATTTAGCATATTTGTTGATCACAAGTACACAAACGCACATCACACATTATCCATAAAAAAATACTTGCTCTACTGGTAAATCAGGAATGTCCTTGAATAAAGTTGACAACTTGGGATTTATTTCGTTTTTAAGTGCATTCTTGTACCACTTTATTATTTCATCCTAAAATTGAAATATTATGCATGATATCTGAAAACTACATGACATGTCAGAAAGTAATTCTACTTTCCAGATCAATACGATTTACATATTCTGGAGCATTCTTACCGCAGTTTGGAAATAATACGCAGAATTATTCTTAAGCTCATCGAAAAACTCTTTTACAGAACCCTGGTAATTAAATTTCATCAAGACCTGGCAAAAGAAAAAAAAACATACTTTTTTTATATCTCTGTACAAAAAAATTCTTCCAGATTTCTTGATGTACTAATTATGACTCACCTTTTTCATTTCCGAAGAAATTCTCTCCACTTCCTGTAAACCCATGTTATGGACTTCTTCGGGTGACAAATCCAGAGAAAGGTGCCAACGTAGACATTCCTTATAGAATTCCCCTCCATTATCCCAGCTACGCACCCCGTAACCACTTCTTGTATGTTGAAAATACACCTTTTCAAAAAAAAATAAACTAGATGTAAGATCAATTTATTACTAACATTACAGGACAGTGTTCAGAGAAGAATTTCAATGAATGAAACGGAGAATTAAATTTACAGGTAATATTATTATCAAATATAAATGATAATATATAGGCGTACAGAAGGATATATTTATGAATTGTCAACCTTCTTTTGTAAAGTAACATACATTTTCAAGATAACTTTTTAAGTCTCTAAATTTCTGGATGATAGTCTGAACAGCCGTCTCAGCTCTCTTTCTTAGTATTGTCCTGTAATAGAAGAATATATTTTTATTCGCTGTTTAAAGATTTAATGGGTATGGGTGACTCAGGGCTTTGAGACAGACCAAGAACCCCTCTCCCTCTTGTCGAAATGTCTGTCGATATTAGAAAGAAACAATACTTTGGGTCAAGAAGGCTGTTTCTCTTTTTAATTGTTCAATGTGCCTTTCTCTTTTCTTTAAGATTGAAACTATTTCTGATGATACTCTTTTCAATGTCTGAATCGGCTACATTTGATAAGCATGTTATTGATTGCGATTGTTTCAACGATTTTGTATGATCAATATCGAAAACTTTAAATGTTTTTTTTTTTACAGGAATATCACAGAATGCCTTCTTATAAATAAGTTTGTAAACCAGGAGACTAGCTGTAAATTCTTGTAACGCCTCTTTCTCTTTGAATGCGCTCAGGACATAATACCACTCTGGGCTGTCCCTTCTATAGCTAATCAAACTTATTTTAAAAACAGGCAATCACATACATGAATATGAAATCTCAGACAAGACTTCACAAGTAATCATCTAAGAAATTTCTTTTTTTAGAAATCTTTTTAACATCTTATATCGAACCAAGTTTAAAGACCACTTTTCAATGTGTTTACCTTCGAACTCAAACTCTATTATGCTTAGTACTGTCTGTGCATTTAAAAAAAAATAAGAACTGTGATAAAAGAAACAGGATACTTAATACACAGAAATGAAAAGAATTCTTACTTTCTTGAATCATTGATGGTATTAAGATTCGTCAATTTGTCTAGAAATGGTTTGTAGGGAAAGAAGTTGGTATTGTTTGCACCTTCAAGAATGCTATCAATAGATCCTGGAATACGACTCTGAAATTAAAAAAAGGCACATTATAGTATAAATCAAACACATCTTAACGTTTTTCAACTTCATAATTGATTGGATGAAAATTTTATTTTGATGTTCTTCCTTTATTTAAGATTTAAATAAAGTGTAAATAGAAATATTATAAGTGCATAATATTTGAGATTACATAATTCTATCATAATTAAATATTTTTTAAAAGGAAAGCAATATTTATTACTGGACATGCATATTCCTTCGGGTGTTGTATATTTAATCTATATTGTTAAATGGTCTGATTTGTGCATACATACTACAGAAACTTTATGATATGTGTGTCCATTTTCGATTGATTTATTAAATCGTATTATCATTTGGTCTATCTGAAATGGAAAACAAATCTTTATATTTGAGTATGCGTTGATTATGATATAAAAAGTTATACCAAAGGTTATTTCTTTCAGTGTAAATTTTAATACTTATCTTCAAAAAAAAAAAATTAATTCATTCTATCCATAATGATAAACATAAGGCTTTGGATTCATTTTTAAAATTTACCATAAAATTATGTATGTTATCATGTCCTAGACATTTACCTCATTTGGATACGCTTCCATTCGATTTAGGTAGTTTTCATAGTCACCCACTGTGTCAAATGGTGTTATTTCTACATAATGGGGTAAGAATGTGTGTGGAGTTTCGAGAATGTTGACCGGATTCAACGCACTGTAGCTAATTTAAATAAGACAAATATATTAAAATGCAATGAATGAAATTTTAAAATTTGAAGTTTTCTGAAGCTCCAAACGTTAACTGAACATAAATTGTGTTGAAAATAGACGTTTAAAAAATCTATAAACTTATGCATTTGGTTTTGAATTAAATTTAAAACTTCGGGCCGACGCTTTTTTTATGTGCCAAGGATCTGCCAAAGAACAAAACGTAAGACCGGTATTATTTCTTTGACAAAAGGTCTGCATATTCATTTTATCTTTATTTCAGTTTTAAAATGTGGGAAAAATAACTTACTCTCTCCAGTTATATCCCTTAAGAACCGTCGTTAATATGTCTTTGAAGATATCGAAATCTGTCTTTTCCTCTGGCGTAAGTTGATCGTAATTAATATTGTTCAAATACTGTAGAAAGCGTTTGCATTCATCCTAAAATGATATATTTTACTAACGAATTCTTGTAAATGGCGATACCAGATAATGTACATGCCCACTTCAAAATAAGATTAATGATAAGAATATCTTATATATATATATATATATATATATATATATATATATATATATATATATATATATATATATATATATATATATATATATATATATATATATATATATATCTTGATATCTTGATAACTTAATTTAAAATGAATGAACTCACACCTTATACTTATATCCTTTGTAAAATTGTAAAATTTAAGTTTTACAAAGAGTAATTAATTTCTATTAAAATTCGAAAGCTTTAAAATATTTCCTACAAATTCTTCCAGGAACTTGGCGTATGAAAAATCTTCCACCCGGTCATTGTATTTGTATACGCCTATTAAGGTTGAATACTCGGGGGAACGCTTTAGTAACCACGCCCCAAATTCTTTCCTAAGGTCATCGAGATCAGTTGACAAACCTTTGCCTTGAAAAATAAAATAAAAGTAAATTCAAGTAAGATATACTCACTATCTTAAAATTATACCATTGATTTTATTGAAATATATTTCATTAGTAGTTTAGATAAGTCAAACTAATATTAATACTCATTGATTTATAAGGGATGACAAACAAGAAAAAATAAATAAAATGAAACAATGATTGAAATACAAGTATTTTTCAAAAAGAAAAAAAAAGATTTTCGACCATTATGCTATCAAAATCTGCAGATATTGCCAATCATTTACAAAGCTATCATAAATTAACGAGATAAATATAATGTTTACACATATATAGATCTGCAATAAATGGTGATAAAATATCGAGAAAAGCTTAATAATACATTTTTCTTTTATAAACAGAGAAATTGAATTAAGATAAAAAGCAGTCTCGCTCGAAAATTAAATGACGCGGAACGGTGTTTACAATTCAAAATGTGGTTGAAAAAAAAAAATCAATCCTAACAACCAAATAATCCAAACTATAAAGATCACTTCAAGCATTCTTTACACGTTTATGTTATGATACAATGGATATTATATACTATGGGAAAGAAAATTTTGAGTCAATAAATATGCATAACACATACCTTCCTTGATCAAAAATAGTACAAGAACTGGTATCAGACTCCAACATACATTCATCCTTCCAGCAACCAATATCTGAAAATCAAACTATGTAAACTTTTAAAATAAAAAGAGTATTCCTCATATTTCTATATGTAAACAAAATGAAACACTTCTTGCTATTGAAATTAAAGAAAACTTACCTATAAACAATGACCTGTCCCAGTTAAAGAGACCAGAAGATTGATTGATTGTATGTTGTTTAACGTCCCGGTTGAGATTTTTTTTTTATTTATTTAGATACCTAACCGTATGCCGGTGAAGGGCTTCAAATTTAGACCTAAACGTGGCAACGAGCAGTGCCAACACCTATTGTTAGACGGGACCTCAGTTTTTGAGGTCTCATCCGAAAGACCAGTGACTTACTTCTAGTGCCGGGTGCTTTGCAAAGGAACAGTCACTACGTAAGTTTACATCTTAGGTTTGATGCAGCGTAGCGAACGAAAATCGTACCTAGTCCCCCCCCCCCCCCCGATAACGATCAAGCCCTACCACTAGCCCTAACAAAAAAAATAATATAGTTAACTACAGTTTACTATAGCTAACTATAGTTCCTTATAGTATCAAAGTTTTCACTATAGTAAATAAAACTTTTTACTATAGTAATTCAAAGTATTTTGTCTACAAAATTCGTTTATTTCTCATATTTATATTTTGTGTCTGTTAAAATTAAATGGCATTGTAAATAATACTTTTGAGAATTGGAAACAAATTACTTTACATCACACAATGTTGCAACACACGACAAACTGCAGAAAAAAGTGCACACATTTCTTTATTTTTTCCCCGTATATTTAAGATGTCGTCTCATAATATTACTCAAATTACTACTCACCGTTTGTTCCCAACAGATCTCTTTTTCTACTTTCACAGCTAAACACTTCCCACAAACATTTTAATAGCTCCTCTGAGACCATCGAAAATTTCAGTGAATATCTTCATCGTACTAACATTATTCGTTTTTCTCTTATACAAAATAACTTTACTAATCAAAAGTGAACAAACCTTGTCTAAAGACTGTTGATGAGCGTGCCCTATATATAGATGAACTTGCTTGGAAATGCATGCTTTATCACTTGTCTACATCTAGAATGGGAACTAGTTTAGAAAGTGTATTTAGGATTTAGGATTTTTTTCTTTGAGATTCGTAATACATGTATAAAGAAACGAAATCCCCAACATCCTTTTTAAAAGAAAAAATCTTCCTACCGTAGTTACAAATAATAATTAGAAAATTGCAATGCTTTGCTTATTGACTAGAGATTAAGCAGTAATTGACTTGAATAATGAATGGACATGGCATTAAAATGATTGACTAGAACATAAAATAGACACCTCTTCTGGGATATTCTACACAGGACACTAAAATTAAATGAAAGTTAATACTATAATGATTATGAACAATGTACAGTCTAAAAGCGCATATAGTCTTTTAAGTATTTCGTTACATTTCGCACGCGAGGAGGCTGAGCACGGTAGGTGTTGGATGCACTTCTGTTGTTTTGGCGGTTTTGTTTATCATGTTTTGATTTGTTGGTTAAGTTTCCTGGTTCATCTTGTTTCCGGGATTGATTGTGAATGTTTTCTGGTTTCCACTTTATGGGTGTGGTATGTTGATCTGCATTTTGACAGGTTCCTTATCGACTGGGCATGCGCATCTAATCGGTAATTGGTCGCGAATGGTTGCTTGCACTTGTGTTGGACGAATATGTACACGATATCGTAGGTATATACATGTATCTCTGTTTTGGGACTGTACAAGATAAAAGTAGTCACCAAGTATTTTCAGTACTTTTCCTAAAATCCATCTTTCACTGGTCTTGTGTTCAAAATATACATTTGTCCAATTCACAGGTGAGGTAGATCTCGTGCCCATTGATTATGGTATTTCTTTAAAGTTCTCATTTTCCTCTCGCGTCGAGAATTTTGTTTCATTCCCCTTCAGTTACATGTATCAGTGTGCGAGTCGGTCTTCCAAGTATCATTGCATTTGGGCTGTATCCTGTTTCTTGGCGGGGCATATTCCTTTGCTACATGAGTGCCTCAAAGTGAACTTGTCCATTCCTCTCACATTTCATGATAAGGATCTTCGTTATTTTCACTGCCGATTCGGCCGGGATGAAGAGGTGACGACCTCACATGATTGTTTCCTCGTTTTCCAGGGAATATGCAGAAATCATTGACCATGAACTGTGGTCCACCATCTGACAAGATAGTTGTTGGAATTCCAAATCTGGCGAACTGCTTCTTTAGGATGCCACGCAGTCACTGCTTTCTAAGTTGTCTAAACAGTTGTTCTAAATCATAATTTTAAAATAGAGCTTAAAATTGGCGTTACTGTGAAATTGTATCTCTGAATCTAAAGCCCAGATTTTGATTTCATTTAAGTTTTTAGCTATAGAAAATATAATTGTTGGTTTAACTGTTGGTATAGAATTGACTTTGTTATGAACGGCAAACTCTTTACCTCTAATGATTATTGTCTTTCAAACCAATCAATATTAGCTTCTACTCTGTAATGACAGATATTTGAATTTGTTTCATAATTGTAAACTTAATACAACGTGCCTCGTTTTCTATGATTTTCAGCGGACATGCGTATTTAGGTTGTTTACGCACCTCCTTCATCAATATTCACGAAAAATCAGCAAGTCCTTAATTGCAGATCTCACTTAATTTCTTTGTTATAACAACGATTTATTAACCACAATTTTGTGGAATGTTTTCTTTTCTTGTTTCAAATTCATGTTTCAGATCATTTAATCATTCTGTTTACATGAAAAATCAGCTCTTGTCTAGTGTTTATAGCTTTAATTGTATACATGTAGAATTTATTATTGATCACATTATTGACAATGAACTTTTCGGATGACATTAGATTAAAGTATATAAACATCGTGCATGATTCCTAAAAAAAATTTTTCCGAATTCCGAGTATGCATTTTTTTCCCAATCCGTCGTTGTACTTGTATATCCCTATCTTCGTAAAGTAATCGAAAGAACTCTGTAATCGCCATTCTGCATACTCTTCCTGCAGGGAATCATGGTCTGATGACAAACTCTGGTGAAAATAACGAATATCGTGACCGAGCTCATATAAATTCTGTAAAGGACAAAAACAAGGACCCCTGGAAACATCAGATATAGGATCAGGTGCCTAGGAAGAGTTAGCAACCCCTGCAACACCCATCTTTCTTTGCTCCAAAATCTGCATTTCCATATCACTTCACCTACTCAACATTGTAGGAGCTTGATGTTGCATATAAAATCATGCTAGCAGCATAGGGTGTCTTATCACTATACCAATCCATGTGAATGATTTGACAGACTACTCAAAATGTACATGTCTCTTTGTATTAAATTGCACTTATGCTTGGCATTCAATAGTTCTCCAAGCAGAGAGTGCATGTTCAGCAAATTACGATTATTGTGGAAACTATTACATGACAGATACGAAAATACACAGAATCACACACTAGAGCAAAATTTCCTCTTTCTTCTTTCTCAGAGTAGGATTTCCCCTCATTCAATGCTAAAATAATAATGACAATATTTGGCTAAAGTGATATGAGAATCAATTGAATTTAAAAAATGAAATATGAGTGTTCTTGACTCAAGAAGTATTTAAATTTAGCATAAAATCTTATGATACGAGGCGTTGTCCTAAAATTCCGTAGACAAGCGTAGTTTTGTACGAACCCAGTGTTATAAATTAATGAAACTTAATACATAAGTTAAACCAACAATAACTTATAAATTTATGGACAAACGTTGAGTAAATGCAGATTAACGGCTGTCACATATATCTCAAACCTTCTCAAATAGCTATCTATCTCAACTTTATTCTGATCAAATGGAGGAATTTTAGGTACACTAGGTTTTACATAATATCACAACCCTTTCCTTTTGCGTTTTTCTCTCCAGTTTTAAATCGTGTTCCTTTTGTAAGTGCTTCAACTTCATCTCATGATATACACATTCCATTCAGCTAATATTCTTGTACTTCTTTTTCCCTCTGTCGAGCCCCTGCTCTTTTTTCACTCTGTAATTTCTGTTGTTCAGTAACGTATTTTCTTAAATCTTCATTTTCATAACCTAATCTTTCGCCTGCAGCCATTAAATCTAGCACTGACTCCCATTTTTAAAGACATGACATTTTGATCATAACATAGACCTTTCAAACAGTATATACATATATACTGCGCTAATACTACATGTACTACTTACGAAACTACTATACTTTGAATTCTACTTCTACTGATTTTGAATTTTTTAGATTGGCGAAACAGTTGTTAAAACTTTTGACTGATTTACCGTACTACTTTTACCATGACCAGTCTCCATATACCCTGAGGAAGTCCATCAAAAAACTAGAATCTAAAAACTTTTTGAATTCCAAATGACCAAGGAACATTGCCCACAATAACAGTTATAAGAGTAAAAATGATGACAAACTTCATATACATGCAGATTACAATCAGAGAACATATATGAAGTATTCATTAGATTTCAAAGCAATTAATTCACTGTTCTTGTTACGTTTGTAAAATGTCTCGAGTCAAAAGTTTTTTTTCCCAGTAGTGGTATTTTTTTAAGAGTTTGACAATAATTGATTTATTTGAAATAAACTGTTAAATGAGTTTCCTGTATAGATGAATTCAGGTCGGCTTGCTTCAGGTCAGTCACGTTTGTTGATCTGTAGTTTCCCTCTGCGAGGTTCTTCAAACCACAAAAATGACACTTGTATTTTAATCTTGTGATTCATTGATGATCGATCAAAATTTTCCAGGTTACAAAATCTATCCTGAAGTCGTCCCGAGTGACAGTTGATATCCTTGGATTAGTATCTCAGTTCTGACACCAATTTGTCTCAGGAAGGCTTGCGGGTCCCAAATAAACAAGTCAATGAGGTTAACATAGAGTTCTTTATTTACGATCATATTACAAACACGCGCGTTCTGTAGTCGATAGTCTATACATGTGATGGCACAACGGCACTACCAGACTAAAATTAAATGGACCTTAATGGGACCTATAATATAAATCAAAGTAAGATATGTATAAACATTAATCACTTTGCTCATACTTATGGATTTCACTGTATTTTTGTTCTTACTAAGACACTATATATATATATATATATATATATATATATATATATATATATATATATATATATATATATATATATGTATGTATGTATGTATGTATGTATGTATGTATGTATATATATATATATATATATATATATATATATATATATATATATATATATATATATATATATATATATATATATATATATATATATATATATATATAGTTACTATGTTGCATTTTGCTGTATTTGTTTTCTTTCTTACAATAAATGAGCAAATACTACTTTGAATTTAACTTACGAGTGAAAATTTAGAACAAAGTTCTGTAGCCATAGCAGGTATAAAACCGGCAATAAACCATATATTTAATAGTAAATAAAATAAACTTACCCAGTATAGGTGGACTTTGGTCATGTTAAATATTATTGATTCATACATACTATACATATATATATATATATATATATATATATATATATATATATATATATATATATATATATATATATATATATATATATATATATATATATATATATATATATATTAGAAATGTGAGCTGTGTAACACATGTCTGCTCTTCTAAATTGTTACGCCCAGTCTGATTTCAGAAAGCACAAGATTATAAATCGCCAGGTAAAACCTGCTGAATAAGCTTAAATATAGAGAAAAACTTGGGCAGTGAATAGTCGTTAAACAATATGCTGATGAAATATGGAACCTATTATGATGATGTGACATATACATATATGTTGAGTTTGAAATTCACATGAAGAGATGCGCAAATGAAATAAAAAATGTCAGTTTCCTAGAAAGAGTTTCAGGGTTCGGAGTAGCTTCCCTTAATATTATCAGTTTACCGGGTGAAATTCGAAGTACATACATATTCAACGGGATATTTCAAAAAGTAATAATACAACTTGCAAGTCATTTTTTTGTTATTGTTAGAAGCAGCTGGTAAAGACAGGACAATTTGTGTACGTTGCTTATCTTCGCGCACGCATAAATAGGTAAAATATTGTTAAATTTAATTAAGTTATATGTTTGGCAATCATTCTTTTTCATGCTGATTCTCAACATTGAAAGATAAATATTAAATGATAAGAAATGAATCTTATATTTTTTCCGTAATCAAGGTTACAAAGAAAACTTGGACGGAAAACTTTTTCATCATGCACTACTTCGAAAAAAGAAAAAAACTTGAGCTTCATTAAGTAAATTTTAGGTAGGGAGAAAAATAAATATTTCATGCTTCTCTCACGTCAACAGAATAAGTTACTTAAAATATTACATGAATTTCACAAGCCATTGCAATGCAAACACAAATACACGTAAAATGAAATAAAATTAAACCCAAAGGCAATGTAAGATAACCAACACAGCTACAAGTTGTCCAGTCCAAGTTCAATGCCCAAAAACAATCAAACGTAACGTATGCAAATATATACATCTATCCCAATTCTTATACTGTGAAATCACTAATTTTCGTAGTGGTTTAATTTTCGTGGTTTTGAGGTACAAAGAGACCGACGAATTCATGTCCACCATGAAATGTAAAAATTTCATATCCATAACTAATCAACATTTCCCCAACAACGAAATGAAATACCCCGGAACCATTATTTTTTCTTCAAACCTTTAAAATATGACCCCACGAAAATATGTGACTTCATAGTATACGAGGGAGATGAATTTTTGAAAGGTAATTTTCGAGTAGAGTTGAGCTTTTATGGTGTCATGATTATTATTCATTGATTTCAAGCATTCAAGCAGTACTCTTTCATTTGTTGCGAGTTCAGCCACATTTTGTTCGGAAATTAACAAATACCTTACCATAATAGCTCAATGGAAAGGTACATTAAAACCTGAAAAATCAGGGGGGTCGTCATTAAGAATGGAAACGAATATATCAACTCTCAAAAAAATCTATATGTATTTTCTTGACGAGCGCATTCAGTTTTAATCATAGATGACGATGCATTACCGTGTAATTTTTCATGCACTTGTTTGAGTGTTTCACTTGAATTTGAATTTTTGAATAAAATTGCTGCTAAAATCATTCTAAAAAAAGATTTTGTTATAAAAAGAGATTTTCATGAAGTATGATTAGTTTTTCACCTCATGATGCCATGAATAGCGGAATACATTTTTCATTAACACAATTATTTACATTGGCACCATGTTCTAATAAGTACTGCACAATTCTAGATTGTCCATTTTCTGTTGCTATGCACACTGGTGAATAATTTCTCTCGGTACAGATGTTTATGTCAGCACCATGATCTACTAAATATTTCACGATTTCGAAATTTCCATCTCGTGATGCAACAAACAAAGGTGTTGTGTTTTTGTCAGTACATATATTAACGTCAGCACCATGTTTAACTAGGAGTTGTACAATTTCTTTGTGACCGTTTCTTGTTGCAATTAATAATGGTGTGCAGTTTCCGATATATTCATACTGACTGGTATCAATTTCAATTTGTTTTAAAGGCTTTACAGTTGAATCATTCCTATTTTCCTGTAATGGCTGGTATTTACTCTCTTCTAAAGTTGTATGAATTTTGAATTGTCTGTAACTGTTTTGGTTGACACAATTCGTTGATTCTAACACTAAGGGTGTATTGTTCCCGGTGTGCAATGCACTAAAACAGGTACCATACTCCATTAGATATTTCATAATCTTATTGTGTCCATATTTAGAGGCAATTAGTAATGGCGTACAATTTATTTCAGAACATATGTTGACATTGGCACCATGTTCTATCAAATCTTTTACAATACCTGTGTTTCCCTTTTTAGCTGCTAGAAGGAGGGGGTGCAGTCTTTGTCAGTACAAAAATTTATATCAGCGCCATGTTCCTCTAAATGTTTAACAATTTCACTATGACCATCTTGAGCTGCTATAAATAATGCTGTACAGTTTTTATCAGTGCAAATATTAGGATCAGCTCCGTTTTCTAGTAAATATTTAACAATTTCAGAATACCCAGATTGAGATGCTATGAACAGAGATGTACAATCTCTATCACTCCACTGATTGACGACACTACCAGGACTATAACCTAATATGTGTTTCACTATTTCAGTATGACCATTTTATGTAGCTATGAACAAAGGGGTACAGTTTCTTTCTGTACATATATTGCTGTCGGAGTGCAATTTTTATCAGTACATATATTAGTATCACTGCCGTTTTCCACTAATTGCTTTACAGCAACAGTATTTTGTTTTGATGTTGCCATGAAAAGAGCAGTGCAATTTCTATGAGTGCATACATTAATATCAGCGCCATGTTCTGCAAAATATTTCACAATCTCAGTGAGTTCATTGTTTGATGCAGTTAATAATGATGTTAAATTTTCCTCAGACTTGCATAATTCTTTTGTAAAGCAATTTTCCAAATGCATTTCTATATCAGGGGAATTTGATTCCACACTATCCAGTAGGGCAAAATCTTCGCTGAAGTTTTTGAAATTGTTTTCTTTCTGTGAAAAATCTGGACCTACTTCATGAGCTTTTTTCTGTGCCTTCTCATACGATTTAGAGATTTTTTTCCCGCATACATTGATATCAGTTATTTGAAGAATTTGTTGTAAATTGTTTACAATCTCAATATTTTCCATTTGCGATGCTAAAGAAAGAAGTTCCTTAATATCTGTGCCATTGGAACCAACATCAGTCCAGTGACTACACAAACATTTAACGACTGGAATGTTTTTCTTTAAAAGATATCGGCGAATAAAGGAACTTATCCAATTTCTTTGTAAAGCAAGTTGTCTAACATTATGAATGAAAACCTCATAAACGCAATTGAAAGATTTATTGAATAACGCTTTGCGTAACACTCCTTTTTGGAGTATGATATCAAGAGGACTTCCACTATTTTCAATAAGTTCTTCAACTACAGCCTCTTCAAATACAGAATTATTTTGACATTGTGAAATTAGACATTTTGTGATAGAATCGTATCCATTATCATGTGCTAATTTAACAGCTATGTTCCCAGTATTATCAACATATGTCGAATCAGCTTTATTATCAACGAGCAGTTTGACTATGTCGTAGAATCCCCTCCCTGCTGCTTCATGTAGAGGGGTCCTATCCATGTTATCAGCAATGTTTACATTTGCATTGTGTCGCAGTAAAAGTTCAACAACATCAGTTCAAGCCATTCGAGATGCCCAAAAGTTTTTTGGGCATTTTGGTTTTGCTCACACAATCGACATTTGCTTTACACCTTGTTAATTCTTCTACAATTGAAAGGGACCCTAGTCTGCAGGTTGTTGAAAGAGGTGTCTCACCATCCATTGTATGATCATGTTTGTTTACATCAGCGTTTGCATCAATAAGTAGTTTAACAACAACTTCATGTTGTCCCATAATGACTGCCGTAAGAGGAGTGAAGCACAGATGTTCATTGTAGGAATCATATTCAGGGATTGGTGATTTATCAAGGCAGCATTTACCTAACCAACTGAGCAGAATTTTCACTGTTTCCGAATGACCGGAAAAAACATCCAAGCAAGAGAAGTCTTGAACCCTCAGAAGACTGTAAGTGTAATAACCGAGTAGAAACATTTTTGTCAAGAAACCTCTCAAGAAGGTAAGATAATAATATTGAATGGCCATAATGAATTACCCAGCTCAATGCTAAGATTCTATTATGAGAATCATTACTTTCCGTTAGCTTTTTACCATTTCCCTGATAACGTTTTCGTATAGTTCTTTCTCCAACAAGAAGGTTGTGTATATAGTACTCATTTCCACAGTAATAAGACTTTTCTCTCTTGTAGTTCATTAATTTTGGAACGGAAGATTGGATGCATAGAAATTTTCTTTCCAATTCATTTGTTGACACGTTTTTGAGATATGAAATAAATTGGTTCAAGAAAATTTCATTACGAAGACATTTTTATTTGTCATAAAAATTCGAATTTTCTATATCATTAAGAAGGCGCTCTACCAGAAATATGTAATCGTCCTTTTTAAGGCATATCTTTAAATTGTTTCGACATATTTTGGTATGCTCAGACTGGTTGTTGACTTCTATATTTCTTGCAATATAACTGCTTTCAAGTAATTGTAGTACATGTCCTGGAAAATCTGATCCATGCATGAAAGCAATTACTTCGAAAATTGGAATCATGCACAAATGAATATACAGTGTCATGGCATACAATATACGTTCCCTTTAGGTCTTCCAAGGCCTTATTCAAACTTGAAGTATTTATGTCGAAATATTTACCAATCGAATGAGAAAACTTGGATATATTCTTCTTCGTTAAATGGTTGTTGCTGAGCATACATGAGACAAGAGCAGCATAGTGAGATTCCCTTTGGCTTCTTAGTTTACCAAACTGGTCAATAAGACTATCGAAGGGCTTTTCAAAAAACGACTGCCCTTTTTTAAAGTTCTCCTTTTCGCTTGTGAACAGTCGGCATAACTGGGGAAACATTATTCCGCTAGACTTTAGGTTGAGATCTTTGAAGTAGCCTTCTTGTACTCCTGTACTCTTACAATGTGCCTCTAATATGTCCATCATTTCACGTTCAGTGAGTAGCAGGTCTGAACATTCGATATCAATCATGTTTTCAAAAATATCACACTTCGACAACTTACATTCATTGAAAATGGTTCTCCTGCAGGTAAATATTAATTTGGTTGTCTTTTCAGATATTAACTCTACAATCCTTTCTAAAGCATTTAATGCATAGCGATCAACCCCAAAAACACCGACAGGGTCATCAAAAAGGAATACTTGGTTAACATTAACATTTCAATAATTCACAATGTCCTCCATGTGCATGACTGGTATGATTTCCCATCCCTCCTTTTTTTAAGTAAAGACATACCTGCCTGGCTATGCTTGTTTTCCCCATTCCTGGTCCACTTACAATAGTCACTATATCTTTAAAATTTACTTCCAGTTTTACTTTATTAAAGGCCCTTGTTTTGCAAAACACATTTTCTTCCTCTTTCCATTGATTGATTATGAGCACGTATTGTTCTGTAAAATATTTAAAAAAAAAATGAGGTTGTTTCTTTCAATTTAACTACGATTGTTTTGCCAAAGATTTGATCATGATCGTGTACGTTAGTTTAAATACTATTACACGTAATAAGTAACTCTACTTAAGGATTTTTTTCATAACTGTTTTCCTTGCTTTGATTATACATGAATGACAAATTTCATTGCTATCAAGGAAGGAATAAATGTGAGGATATATATATATATATATATATATATATATATATATATATATATATATATATATATATATATATATATATATATATATAGAAAGCACAAAGAAATTCACTTTTAATAAGGATACCCACTTCCGCCCCAGCCCGGGGTTGAACTCTAAACCTACGGAATCTGTCTCGTAGCAGTACAGGAACAGCGCGCGCTAGACCGCTCAGCTATCTAGGCAAGTCAAAAAAAAAAATGCTTTTGATGCCGATGGAATTCTCCCGGCGCTGCCCTACACTACACGGTCATTGAGAATAGAAGTGAAATACAGTTTTTTGGACATTAGTTTTATAAGAGGATCGCAACCAATACACGTTGTAATGAAATTCATTTTTATTTATAAAGCACATATTACAACAACTCTTAAACTAACATAACTGGGCGAGAGTTCAACCCCAGGCTGGGGCGGAAGTCGGTATCCCTATTAAAAGTGAATTTCTTTGTGCTTTCTGTATTAGTACTTCTTCACTTAGGGCAGTCATGTTAGTTTAAGATATATATATCAAATTGATATAATTTCATTAAAATATTCCTATAAAACAATGGACGAAAACCCGTTGTCGAACACTTACATCTACTTACATGTATATAGACCTGATTTAATCATACAGTATATATTTCGAGGTGGAAAAAATATTCTAGTCAAATATGTAGTTCGGTATCTATTTAGCTTTTAGCGTCCAAAATATTTCTTTTACACTCTAAAGGAGAAATGACCCTCTCATAATCAAACAAATAAATCAATTATTAAACAAAATAAAAACAACAGATTTTTTACTTTTTTAATTAGGTTGTTAAAACATGTTTTGAGCAATTTCTTCGTGTGAAGATTTTTATAATTGAAAAAAAGCAGCAAAAATATTGTGATTGATTTTTCGATAAAATTAAACTCACCTAGTACGTTGAAAGCTATATGGTCGTCAAGTCTTTCTATAGTTTCTTTTAAATTCAGCAATTCCTCTAATATGTTTTGCTTTGAGGTTTTATCCAGCTTTCTTGTAGTTAAGGAAGTGATCTCACCATTTAGAGACCCACTACTAAGACGATTTATAGCCTAGAAAAAAATAAATTATAATATGATAAAGATGGCTGGGAATGGTAAAATATAATGCATTTCAGCCCAAAATGATAAATCATAATGACTAAGCTGATAAATCTATTATATTTTTGTAACGAGTATTATGCAACATATTTCCAAAGAAATCCATAATATCTGTCAATTAATTTTACAATTGGCAATCGTTTAAATTATCTATTTCCCTCTGATAGGGATGCAAGAAAATCACCTACTTGTGAAAGCTCAGACCATTTTGAGTTAAAAGTTGGTACATCCATCGTGGGGCTACCATGACACAATGAATTTCTAGCAAATTGCACATGTTCTACATCGTCCGCTTGCGAGATATCATTAGATCTCGGTTGTTTATTCCATCCGCATGCTGGTGCAACCTTATTCACGGTGTTTCGTATAAGAATGTAAAGAAGAGACGTGTCAAAGCTCTTTGAGGACACAGTTCCACTGCTACCACCTGTAATTCATAAAATGAATATGTATCTATAATTCTAACAGAATTATGCTTGATAATTAATTTTTTTTTCGAAATGAATGAAAGAAATGTTGGGAATTGGAGAAAAAAATTAGTAGGATAATACTTGGAAATAAGACTGTCTGTTGCTGCAAATTACAAAGTTTTTAAAGTTTAGATTCGGTCTTTTTCAGATGATTTTTCAAAGATGATGGTGAAACAAACGAGTCGAACACAATCCTGAGGGCCTTGGTACCAAGCTGTGCAAGCAGAAAAAAGCGGAGAAAGTTCTTTTCTTCATCTGTAATTATGTTTGGTACACCTAATCGATGAGATGAAAGTATTATATGTAATTATTATGTTAGAATTTTACATCGTTCAAAAATCATCTAATACTGTTATTAATGTTTCTCATTCTAATCAATGAAATCATCAGTTACATCATATGGAAAAAATAAATAAAAACAAAGTAATATTAAAGTAAAAAGTTCTTATTTTGGGTTGCTTAATTCCCTCATGCATGTATACAGTAAAACAAGCTTATAATGATGTGCCAAGGACTGGCGATTTTGCTTCGTTATAAATGTTATTCGTTATATCCGAAAAGTTCACAATATCTTTTAGCTCTATTATGTTAAGCTATATATGGGAGGTGAAAACTACTACGTTGTAAGCGTCAATTCATTAAAAGCGTGTTTGCTATAAGCGTGTTTGTTGTACGTGAGTCGTGGCTGACTTTTCGAAAGATTTGATAGATTGGAATAGGTTTCAATGCGCCTTAATTGTCGCCATTTTAAAAAAAATGAAGAATAACTAAGAACTAAAATAATCTGAAATTCTTAACGAAACAGAACCACATTCTGAATTCAGAAGTTTTAACCACTTTTCACACATTTACAATACTTGAAAAACTTTCTAAAATAATACCAGATTTACAAAATGATGTCTATAACTATGAAAAGATATTATTTCTTTAGACAGTTCAGTTAGTTGAGACCATATAAACCGAGGTTCCGTGTCGCAGTAGGTGCTGGCACGAAAAATATCTTTCACTGCTCAATGCCTTAAGTGCTGAGTACAGGTTCCAGATTCCCAAAATGATGTGTATAAATATGCAAACAAATTGCTTCTTTAGTTTAGTCTAGTTTATTGAACAAGAAAAAGATCTCTCACTGCTAAAGGTCGCGAGTGCTGAGTATAGATGTAAAATTGCAGCATTCCAAGTAGTGGCGTCTCAATTTGAGAAAAAAATTCTCGAAGGGACGTTAAACAAACAAACAAACAATTGAAACGAACACAACTAACCCTATCCAAAGAAGAAAAAGT